AACCTAGAGGTTCAATCTGGAGTTCTTTATGTAAGGCATCGTTTGCGAACAAACTACAGCTCGCTCGTCATAAGTCATGGCAGCTTGTTTTTTCTCACTTGAAGCGAAGAGACTATTGACAATGAGCCATGGGCCCAGGCGGTAGACGCTTAAGTCATGATCGGTTGGATGCACAAAAAATACAAACGTCATTTCTTCTTCTGCGAGAGTATACTTTGAGCACAAAGTAAAGAGTAAAGAGTGTGGTCCGGCGCCTTGACCATTGCCGGGATACAGCTTTCGTGCGGTCTCCACTAGAGCTTACTGTCAATAATGACCCCCAGGTACTTCGTCTGAGGACACCAACGAATTACCTTAATTTCAAAGGTCAGCGGCGGTAGTGATGTAGTGCGCTTCTTCGTGATAATTTTCTAATGACCGCACCAGTCGGCTATCGACACTAGGTAGTACTGCAGATGCTGGCGCAATAAGGCAGTTGACTTTGACGAGGAGTAAATCGCCGTGTCACCCCCTATAAGACAATCCGCGACTGGGGGTCGTTGAGGTGTGGCACGTCGCGTAGGTAAAACTGCAAAGAGTAAGTGCGATAAAAATCCTTGTGGGGATCCGGCTATTAGTAGTCATAGGGGCCAGCACGCATTGCCCACCCTTATTTCAAATACGCTGTCCTCAAGATAAGATTTGATCACGTTAAAAGAATAGCAGGAAGCACTATGACGCGTAAATTGCAAAGCAAGCCCTTGTGCCAAATTCGATCAAACGCTTTTCGACATCAAGAAAGACGGCGCCCACTACCTTCATTTAATTGAAGAAACGGATCGTGCACTCTGTCACGAGAAGTTGTTGAGTAGTGGAGTGTCCTTGTCGAAATCCAAATTGGAATTCTTGCCGAGAGTGACTTGCGTCAACAACTGCTTGCAAGCGGCGCAGATGACCGCCTCAGCTACTTTACCAACTGCTGACAAGAGGCTGATAGGCCTGTATTTGCTTGGCGTAGATGTTAATCGTGGTCTTTTAGGGAGCATCACAACAGTTGCCTTCTTCCAGTGCAATGGGAAGATGCCGAGAACCATCGTAGGGTTGAGGAGGCAGCATAGTCGTTCTACCGCCCCCATTAATAATTGCTTTTACATCATGTTGGTGATATCGTCGGGGCTAGGCGCCTTTCGTCTCGGCAAGGCGATAATAAATCTTACGACTACGGTTATATTAATTGGCTCAAGCTGTTCGCCGGCCTCAACAAGAAAGTTTGACTCATAAAACACCATCGACAACCAAATAAGCAGGTGGCACACACTGAGTAGCGAGGTTATCGGCAAAGTGTCGCTTCGTCAGCATATTTTCCTCTACAAAATTGCCGTCTCGCATAGTAGGTACTGGTAAACGCCCTCTGTTTTTGTATTTCTCTACGAACTTCCGGAAAGAGACGCGATCATTACAGATATTATTCAATATAATACTTAACTTTGTCTCTCACAATCGGTTATAAAGTTTAAGATCTCTTTTCTTTTAACCCCTTATTATAGGTCACTGGTTACCATGTTTGCCACTTGTCGCCTAGGTTCAATTTGAAAGAGTAGGTCTATGTAAATTGACCCTAAACAACAGGTCGGTCTCTGAAACAGTCTCTAGTAAGTTTGAATACCATGTTCTAACAGATTATGCAGCAACCAAGAAAACATTAAAAAAGTGGTAAATATAGCCACCAGTGAATGTCTATTTTTTTTTAGCCCCCAGAGTTTTGTCCGTTAAAGGGTAAAAGCCGAATTTAAGTTATGGATGGCTTCACATTTTCACTTTTTTCCTTCTATAAACTTAAAGTAGCAGCGCAATAGGACCTTTAACGAAAGCAAGGCAGCCTGATTGTTTTCATGAAATTTTACTTTATAAATATCATAATCTTTTTACAACTTTAACTTTAAGAAACGTAGCATCTGCCTTGCCTTTTATACCTAGCTAACCTAAGAAAGTACAACTCTTCAGTTTAAGATTTAATATAATCCCTACTGCTGCTCAGTTGCGGAGCCTTATGCTAAAGACTAGTAAAAAAAAAGAAAGGGTAAGAACAATTAAGGGAAGTTATACCAAGTTCTTTTCATATAAAAATTAAGCTTAACGATTTACACTTCAAATAAGTAAAAAGTTATTAGAGCGAGATTTTGATTTATATTTTTTTCTATTATTATATTTGTATTGAATACTAAATAATAACCTAAAGATATTATTATTTTACTTAGTATATGAATTAAATTCTTTGCAGTAAATTACCTCCTGTTCTAGTAAAACTATAATAACCATTTAAGAAATTTACGATATTTCATGTTTTATAAGGCCAAGTCACAATTAATAGCTAATAATGTCAGCTTAACGGTCACAACTGGTAAAACTGACTCGTCAGTTGCAGTCTTCATCAAAAAAATCCTGTCTTAGCTGTTTACAATATATATCATGAACTTTAGCGGCTGCCTTACTTTTCGAAAAATAAAAAAAAAATAGTAACTAGACGGAACAGTGCTTACGTTAAAGATACCGCTTATCTCAAAATTTTACCGTGCTAAAAAGAATATCTTTTTCTTAGATGAAAAAACCGTAAAAAAACCCCCTTTTAATATAAACTCATTACTTACAACTTTAAATAAACAGACTTTTTCAACGAAACATCTTGTTATATAAATATTATATTGGAAAGTAAATGGCCTGTACAAGGTGTTATAGAAGCACATTTAAAAATTTAATTTATTACTAAATAATTCTGTGAAAATTTTTTATCTTAATTATTTTCTTTCCTTTTCTCACGCTAATATAAATTTTTGCAGTATATTTATTGAAATAATTATATATAACTTTTACTAATATATGTTTTTTATATTTTTAAAAGTTATAATAAATTAATATATTAATTGACTTTATTAATGAAACCCAGAACCATACTATTACCCTGACAGACGATAACCTGAAGCTACTGGAGTTACTCTCTGTTTTGCAAAAAGGCAAGAAATTTAATGTGCAATTTTGTAATGTATTATTTGAAAAATACCTCATCGATTCTTGCAGATGACGATTTTAATGCAAAACATCCATTATGCAACAATAAAACTAATAATGGCTTAATCCACTCGGGTAAAAGATTTCACTTTTATACCACTATATTTTTTTAACTTGTGGCATGGAGTTTAGAGACCACCATATTTGGTAAATGCACAGATAGCTCTCTGTTGACCGGGTATCGGTATTATTACAAAATTTTCAATATTTTTTTGATTACAATAACTTGTACAACAGAAACTTGTCACAATATCCTTTTTTAGAAAAATTTCAGTGTTCCCCTTTATCAGAAACTTTAATCAATTAGTACCGATACTTGTCAACAGAGAGCGCTCCGTACATTCGTCAAATGCATTGTTTTGCTTGTAGTTAAAAAGTGCATATATATAATAACTTAGTGGAGGTTAAGCTGTAAAATTAAGTATATAAGAAGCTATCCAGTGGCGTGGTTTCAGAAACTTTTTCTTTTCCTCGTCAATACTAGCCGTCGTACGGGGGTACATGCCCCAGTTCAAAGAAAAATAACTATCATCCTCCCCCTCCCTCCCCTAACTCTCAATAACAGATACAACCGGTGGAAGTAAAATGGGGGTAGATCTTCTCTACTTCTTGGGTCCATGGAGGGGGAGTTTGTATGATTGTTACGTGCTACGGAGTGTTAGCTTTATAAAAAAGTTAAAGTAGTAATCGCGGTATGACTGTCTACTGTTTGGTTGGTATATAGGAGAAGAGAGTGAGAATTCTGTCTATTCTAGAAGTGGAAGGTGCCTAAGAAAAAAGTTTTTCCTCTTCTTTGAGGGAGGAGCCGTCTCTTCTCCTCTCCTTCCTTGGGTCTTTTGTGGTAATAGTTCACACCATTTACTGTCTGACGCTTAGAAACGGTTTCACAATAATTTTCTTTTGTTACCTGAAAAAATAAAAGTCCGCGTACTAAATTAAAAAAAAAGATGAAAATAAAAATGAGTAGCGTCGCTGGGCTAGTGAAATTAATAAATTTTAATATATAGTTTTTGTACTGTATAATCTTCGTTATACCTTGGTCACTAGAAGAAATGGAGTAGGTGCACTAAAATAATAACATAATATCCAAACCACCATGCAATTAAAAAAATATTAAAGTGTGATATAAAAGTAAAACCACTTTAACAGGGTTTAAGGTTAAAAAGAAATAAACAGGTGAGTAAATAAATACTAGATTGAATAAAAAAGAATTAAGTAAAGTCATAATAATAAATTAAAGAATAAAAAATACAAAATGCATACATAGAAAATAAAAAAAAAATTTACAGTTTATTCAATAAAGTTTAATATATATATATTATTCCGTTAAGATAAAATTCAGAAAAATGTTCTAGAAAGATAAATTTTAACGCTAGATATTTATAGCTTACTTCCAACAGGGTATAATAATAAATATAATATATAATTTTACCAAATTAAAATCTTTCTGTTTAAAGAAATTTTTATGATGAAAATGCTATATTTTTATTTGTTCTTTAAAGAATATAGTTTGTTACAATTAGCTTTAAAGGATTAACAAAGTCGTGCCTCATAGGGTGTAGTTTATTTAGTAACAACTTCTCTACATCCTGTTATGGATGGGACCACAGCATCTACTGTTAGAGGATGGATAAATATATCCACAAATAGAGAAATAAGTTAAGGTTTAACTTTATTTTAGAAAATTGTATCTCTCAGATACACTCTTGTATGGGATAACCTACAAAGTATCTATGGGCCATGAACTTTCACGAGGGGGATCTAAGTTACCATATATAGAAGTGGTAAATTTAGGAAGTATATCTGAGGCCAATATGTGTATGTCTTTGTAGTGCTCACTCCAAAGACAACCTGGCCTCGACGGTCTCACCGACGTGGTATAAAAACAATTATTGATGATGGCGATAGAACGAACATGCTGCCTCATCAACTCAACGGTGACTCTCACCTCCCCACTACGCTGGAAGACGGACGGCAACTGTTGTGATGCTCCCTAAGAGACCACGACTAGCATCTACGCCGAGCAAATACAGGCCTATCAGCCTCTTGTCAACAGTTGGTAAAGTAGCTGAGGCGGTCATCTGCGCCGCTTGAAAGCAGTTGTTGACGCAAGTCTCTCCCTTCAAGAGTCCCAATTTGGATTTCGACAAGGACACTCCACTACTCAACAACTTCCTCTCGTGACAGAGTGCACCATCCGTTTCTTCAGTTTAATGAAGGCAAAAGGCACGGTCGTTCTTTATGTTGAAAAGCGTTTGACTGAGTTTGGCACAAGGGCTTGCTTCACAAATTACGCGCCATAGCCCTTCCTACTACCCTATTTAACATTCTTAAATTTTACCTTAGACATACCGCGTCTTTGGCGTACGGTGTGGGCGATGCGCACCCACCCCTAAGAGCACTAACAACTTGCGCCTCACAAGGATCTCATTTATCACCCTTACTCTTCGCACTTTATGCCCAACGTGCCACAGCCTAACGATCTCCACTAGCGGAGGGCCTTAGAGCGGATAATACGGCGACTTACTCAACCTCAAAGTTACCCACCTTATTGTGCTAGCATCTGCAGTACTACCTACGGACGCTTGCCAACTGGCGCCGTCGTTGGAAAATTACTATTGATGCGGAAAAGAGCAAAGCCCTTCTTATTACAAAGAAGCGCTCTACACCACTATTGCCGCTGACCTTTTAATATGAGGTAATTCTTTGGAGTCCTGAGGCGGAATACTTGGAGTCATCACTGACAAGAAGTTCTCGTGGCGGCCGCACATAAACTATCTCGAATGTTCAAACTCTTTTCCCATGTTCGAAGTAAATTCTTGCTACACTACAATGATGCTTGTATTTGTTGGGCGCCCAACCGATCATGACATACGCGTCTGCTGGCTGGGTCTACGACTCACCGGCAATAGTCTCTTCGCTTCATGTGAGAAAAACAAGTTGCTACGCCTTATAACGGACGCGCCGTGGTTTTTTCGCAACGATGCCTTACATAAAGACCTCCAGATTGAACCTCTGGGTATCGTTTTTCGACGGAATGCTGTCGCCACTGTGATCGGCTCAGTCAGCACACCAATCGATTACTGACGGATGAGGTCAACTACTAAAGCTGGGGGCGCACGCTATCGCCGACTGTGTGATGAACTTTAATATATAATGTGGGTTATGGGTAAGATTATTTTTAATACATACATGTATATAAGATTGCTATAACACAAGTTTGAAGTTGGCGTGTACACTATCACCTTGTTGGGAGCTCGTAAATTGGGTATTTTCTTTTATGACCCGATCGAGCTCCAGGAAATATCATTTATAGGAAAAAAAAAAACTCCAAAACAGCTTTACTTTAAAAAGAATGCGAGAAGGTCTAATAACCCTGTTCTCCTTCTAATAAGAATACTCTTTTACAACGCTGTAGATTAACCGTAAGATCAAGGTGACAGGAGAGGTCGAACTAACAATCCATAAAAATTAAAAAATATTGGTGTTAACCTTGTAGATTCTTATCTTCTTCTAAATTTATTTTATCTATAACCATTGTAGAAAAGTATGTTACAGAACCATCCTGCCGTAAGTTGACTTTTTGAGCCCAATCAATCATATTATCCAATATTAATTAGTATAAATTATATTGTACTTATAAGTTATATGGTAACCTTTTTTACAACTGAGGGGTAGTATAATGAAGTTGTTTGATTTACTAGAATGAGCAAGTGTAAAATAACAAATTGTAAGGTAATTCAAACTAGAATTAAATAGTCTATATTAATAACTAGAGAGCAGTAAAAGAAAGGAAGTTTGTTACTAAAATGAATTAGTAAAAAAAACCCAATAATAATTGTAACGCTCATTCTTCACTGGATGTAACCCCATTTAAAAATATACCCCTATAGCGAAACTATATATTATTAACTACCAGGAGCTCTTTCGAACCCTAACACTATCGTACAAGAGCTAATAAGAATCCCAGTTGGGTTAAAATCTATTTAAAACTGAAAGGAGCTGCTTTGTAAATAAAAATAATTATGTTGTATTGGACGTTACCGAATTTAAGCAGTAAAGAGCTTCATGGAATCATGTATACATTGGAGAAAACACCTATAATGAAGCTTTGGATGTCTCAGAGGAAGTAATTAATTCCGGCTTTCGAGCTGTTTCCTATGAATGCGCGAAATAGCATTGAGATGCATATAAAGGAAGAAAAATATTCAAAATTTTTTATCTTCTGCTTAGAGTTATCCTACTGGACCTTAACGATGGGATCATTGAAAAACTAAAAGAACTTTAGTGCAGCTGAAGAGCGCTATTATAAATTTCATTAGGGCCTGAGAAAAAGTTACTTAAAAAGAACTGCTATTTTGCTAGTGAAAGGACATTAATAAATAGTAACTACCTACCTTAAATAAATAAGTCTTTAAACTTAGTCAGTGTGTTTGCTGTTTTTACCAAAGATTTAAATATTTAAGCAGTGTCAGATAAAGAAAGTTTTAAAAAGCTTGTTCTACTTAAAAAGTATAAAAACAACTATAACCGAGTGTTAGTTGAAAAATTACTTTAGAATCAGTTAATATTTAAAATAGATTAGATGGGTAAGAACCAATGCATAATACTTCTTGAAAGGTGTCCTTGAAATGGAATTAGAGAAAAAAATTTTGTTTTACAGAGAACGAAGTAAAAGAAATGGATATTTTAAAGCTCGGCTATCCAGAAGAACAAGCATAAAGTTATGAATGTAATAATTTAAACCTTTGCGAGTTTCTCAAACTTCTTAAGCTTTGATAGAAAAAAAAGGGGGGTGCGTCGCATAGGGAAAAAAATAATCAAAAAAGCAAAAAAAATCTAATGCGTAAGATTGCGCATGACTAGAGTACATGTTAGAAAGCACACAATGAAGCCATGTGATGGTGGAAAATAGAGTATGGAAACAACTGGTATGCCGCTTAATTCAACAGAGTTAATTTTAACAGTCTTCCTCTCCTTTAATAAATGCAAAAAAGTTTACAGAAAAGAAAAAAAACGTGATCACCCACGTAAAAAGAAGCACGTATAGTCTGCCATTTGTTGTAGGCGTAAATAGCATGATGTACCACGCCTTAAGAACACGTGATTTTCAGAGTAAACACCAACGCCAAAATTGTGATGCATCATTCTCGTGAAAATTACTTAATAATTTCTTAAAAAGGACTCAAATTATTAAAAAATTGTATTCACTTAAATTTTAACTTTGTCATTTTTTATAGTTATTATCGATCGCATATAGTAGAAAGCCGGCGCGGAAATAAAGGAAAGGTTATTTTTTTTGTTATAAATAGTAAATTCACGAATTTTATTAGGACACGATTCACTGTAACTATTAAAACAGATATAAATTATAAATACTATGATAAAATCGAAAATTTTACAACTTTTCTAAGCAATAAATATCCTTTAGTTAAGCCAGAAAGCAATGCAGTCACGTCATATTCAAAGTGTTCCTATAAATAATATAATTGAAAAGTTTTTAGAGTTAATGTTTCATTGGTATGATAATGCTTATTCATGATTATAATAAATTTTTGCGATAATTATATAAATTTTTTAATTATTAAAAAAAATTAAAAACTTAATTTAGCCTTAATCTTTCTGTAATTATTAAAAAACTTATAGAAGTGTTTACTTTTTATTGTAAAAAAATTATTATATAATATAAAAAATTTTATTAATATTTTAATGTATCAAATTTTATTCATTAAAATATCTAAAACTAGTTATTTTTGTTTGACATTCATTAGAAATTTATAATAATAAAAAGAAAAAAAATTCTAAAATTTCTTATTAAAAATTTTTATAATTTTTTTATATAGTAGCAAATATTTTTAAAACTGAAACGATTATTAAAATTATTTAAATTTTGTTAAAAAAAATTTACAAATAATAAGTTTTATATTAATAGTAATTAAAAAGTTTTAACTTTTTTTTTAATTTCCTAATCTTTAATAATTTTTGTTTTTATTTACTCTAAAACTTAGAATTTTCTTATAAAGGTTAATAAATTTATCATATTTCATCATTTTAATTTATTGCTTTTTTAATAATTTTTTGCTAAAATTAATGATATAAATATTCTTATAACCTTTAAAAAAATTTTTTAAAATAAATTAAAATATTATAATGTAAATTAGTATTGCGGAAATTATTGTAATAACTTTCTATAAAGTTTTTAATATCTAAATTTTATAACCAAAATTTAGATATTACATTAACTTTTAACTATTATATATAACGACACTTTATATAATAATTAGAATTAAAATATTAAATTTTTCTAAAGACATAATAAATTTTTTAAACTTTCATAGGAACATTTATTAAATATTTCTTAAATATTTTACAAAATGTAATCTTGAATTTTTTCAAATTACAAAATTTTTATTAAATAAATTTGAACATTTAAAAAATTATTAGCATAAATAAAAATTCTTAATGCTATTTTCCTAAAAATTTTATGAGTATATACAAATAAAACTCATTTTTTTTCTTATTAAAGCTAAAAAATTATAAAAACTTGTTTTAGTTGTTCATCGTTTGAAAGCAGGTCGCATATAGTTGTAATTTCCCGAAGGAGTGAAGAATCTTTTTTTAAAATTCCTAAGATAATTAAAATAAAATCATAAAATAGATTTAATATAAAAATTTAAATTAATAATTATACTTTTCTAAAAATAATAAAAAAAGTTTTTAATAATTAAAGATTTTTTATAATAGCAAAGTTGTATTTTTTTAAAATTTTAGAAAAATTATTTGATTAATAAATAAAATTTATATTATTAAAAAAAATTAAAAGTTTACAAAATTTAATTTGTTGTTTTATATAAACTTAAAAGTAATCAAAAAAGAAATAAAATTTCAGTATAATTGAAATTATATATAAATTCAAAAGTATTGGAGAAAAGATTTAGAATAAAAGATAAAAAATAAATTTAAAAGTAATTGAAAAAGAATTTAAATTCAGAAAGAAAAGCAGTCATAGTACAACTAAAAAACCTTCTTTTACGTCTTGAAGATATTCAAGTAAAAGTTTAATTTTATAATAAATAGCTTTAGCGCATTTACGGGGCCTTAACGAAGATTCTAAATAAAATTATTACCAACAAAAAAATTTTCATTGAGGTTATAATAACTCGTCCGAAGAAAAAGTACTTATAGTATTATAAAAAGTAATTTTTAATAATAATGAAAAAATACTAATAAAAGTATAAAGAAATCGTAGAAAAGATGACTAAGATAATAACAACTTTCTAGCAATATTTATAATATATTTAAATACTAATAATATTACAGAAAAAAATAAAATTGATTTTTTTATGTTTTTAAATCGTAATTAAATCATATTTAATTTTTTTTAATTATACAAACTTGTTACTTTCTAGTAGTTTTAGAGATCAATAAGTTTAATTATATGAAATACCTTTAAAAAATTTATATTTAATTTAGTTTTTCGTTATTAATCAGTTAAAAGTAAAAAACTGCTCAACATTAATATAATATAAATATGAGCATTTCTTAATTAAATTACCGTTTACCATGAAATTATGTTATTTATGTTATTAATTATTTTTAAATATCTTTTTTAATTAGAAGTTGTGAATTTTCTAGTAGTTTTAGAAAATCCTTTTATAAATAAGTTAATTAAATCTTTTACCTTCCGGGAAAAGAAATAGATATATATATATAAATTCTATAAAAGATTCTGATATGAGTAATATCCACTACGCTGCTCAGAACATAACGACTTTATGGTAATTTTTGAAATTGAATTTTAATTTATAAAGAAAGAGTAAAAAAACATGATTTAATCCGTTTTATTATATTTTTATTTATAAATTCTTATTTTTTACTATAATATTTTTATTCATTTTCTAGTTAATTGGTTTTTATTATATTAAACTGCTACATTTCTAGCAGTTTTATAAGATTTAAAAAATAAGTTAATAAACTAAATATGTCACCTTCAGGAGATTCGATGGTATCAGCATTGCAGGATAAAAAGTTAATAGTAATTCTCTCCATTTCATTACTTTTTATAAAACTTAAAAAAAAAAAAATTAAGAATAGCTTTAATTATAAGAAACCTCGTTAACTCAAAGCTACGTCGAACAAAATTAATTTCAGGTCCTAAACTTATACACATAGGATTATATATATTAATAAAAAAGGATGAACCAATTTTGAGGATTGAAATACGATTAGTATCAAAAAAAATAAATTAAAGAAGATAATAAAAATTTTAAAAAAAGTATTATAACTATATGTAACCATTTAAAGTAGTTAAAGACGTTTCATATAACTCTATTGGTAAATTAGAATATAAATAATTTCCTTGCGATTCGTAATAACTTTCGTTGGTGCTTAAAATTAAAAAATACGGGTTTTCTAAAGATGTGGAAGAGATTACCTTTAAATAAAAAGTTAAATTAAAACTCTTTTTTTTAATAGATTATTAATGATACTAGTTTATGAAATTCTAAATGCTCAGGAAGCGGGTTCAAATCTTTGGTAGAGCAAATTGTGTACCATCCCAGAAATGAATAGGAAAAAGAGGGAACTTTATCAACTAATAAATAAAAACTTAAAGATAGCCGGCAACAATAGAATTTAGGTATACTCGTTTTCATTTTTTCTTCAAAAAAATGATAATCAAAATTAAATTTACTTCCAACAAAGTCCGAAGGCTAGAAAATGTTACTAAAGGATGTTATAATAATCCATGAAAACGACCATCTCAAAAGAGTCCGCTATTTCCTTCTTGCCGTTATTATAAAATCCTAAAAGGCATCCTAAAACTATAAAAACTTTGAGCTTGTACAAAGTTAAGTATATAGTAAAGTTTTACTTTTCACATCTTTATCTCTATATGAGGCTTTTTTTTGACGAGAATAAGAATCGGCAATAGTAAGTAAAACTACAAGAGAAATCATTACAGACAGTAATTTCTACTAGACGAAAAAACAGAACCACGTAGATGAAGCAACGGCTTTGATATTTCTAAATTAATAGAGGCACTCATCTATATCTTAACTTTTATTAATTGTTAACCGTCCCCAAGAATAACAAGTTTATCCTTTTTCTATATAGCAAAAAAAAGTTTATAGTAACAAAGCTAATAGATTACCATTAAAAAAAAAAGTGGACTTTTTATAGAAAATTTAAGGTAATTTACTAGATGACACTGGTGGAAGCCAAAATAGTTTAAAACTGTGCGATTAAAACTTCTGAGCAAGTTAGTTATTGTAAAAAAATTAAATATGGTTTGTAAAAAAATAAAAAGTCAAACAATAATTAATTTTAGCTTAGATAGTAGAGGAAAGCTAGTGAAGTTGTGCTCAAAATATAAATTATGTAACCAACTTTAAGTAAAAATTAAAATAAAAACTTTTTAATTGAACCAAACTTAAAAAATTTTAAAAAGGATGACATTAGAAAACAATAAACTTTTTTTATACAAAAAAGGTTATAGTTTTATGAAGAGGAGTGTATTCTACAAACAAAGCAGAACTTTACGTTAGAGTCGTGATTTACGTAGAAGATTGGGTAGGTTTGCAGCTTTGAGGGCGCTGTTAGATGGCCTCTGCTGCCCTGCTGGCCTTCTTTTAAGTCAAGGTTCTGGGCCAACTCATACACTTATGAATGTGCAATCAATATTTTTCAGGTTTGTAGTGTTGTGGTTATCTCAGTAACACCCCAAAGGTTTCAGGCCCTTCCAATATCACTATGCATAGTGTACTCAGTAGGCTTGCATTCGTTTATGTCTAAAATAATGAGCTATAAAGACCCCTCTTTACAGAAACTTAAAGTAATTCCAGAACCAGAGATATTCAAAAGTTTACCTTATGGTCAAGTTTTGCTGTACAGAACGACATTTTCTGTAAATACAACACTTATGTCATCGAAAAAAAAAACATTCTTCTTCTGTACACCAAAAAACTACTTCCAGGTTGTTTCTAGCAACCTTGCAGACTACCAGGTTTTCTTCTCTTTATTTGGTATTAGTTTCAATTAAAATAAAAAAATGTCTTACCGGGCAGCGGTAAAGAGTGTTGCCGCACAAATCTTTTTTTTTGACCTTCGCTAGGTGCGTATATAACCTTGTCTCATAAGTAACAAAACTAAATGCCAAATACGAAAATTTAATGTTATGTCAAAAATATTGTAATTTCGTGGAGCTATCCCTTGAGTGGCTAAGGTTCCAGGATAAGTGCACAACGAATGAAGCGTTTTAAAACCTACTTAAGAACTGCACAGTTCGTTACAACCGTGATATTTTTAATATATTTTTCTTTCGAATGATGTAGTAGAATCAGAACCTTCCATGGGTTACCGAAAAAAAATACCTAATTTATCAGGCTGAAGAACAACTAGCCTGAGAAGGGATATTAAAAATAACTTGGAGCAAGGTTATGTGGGCCAGCGAGGACTTTAACTTTGCATACAAGTGCAAGTGATATAGATATTTTAGGAGTTCTTAATGCAACGTGTTGCTAACAAAAAACACTATTGTTATAGATGTGATAATTCAGAGTTTAATAACGCAAAGTACAAATGATTGAGAAGACCGGCAGTGTTCTGTGGCAGTAGTTAACCTTAGTAAAAAGATAAATGCGTGGAAATTAATATCAAAGCTATAAGACTAGAATTATTTGTACTGCTCTAATAAAATCAAAATAACATCCCGCCTTAGTTGACAGCGGAAAAGGTCTGGTTGGCAACATTGCTGGGTCAGTTTCTCCAAAAAAAAGTTTCGCATTGCATATTTTTGGCTACCTCTCCAGACAATTAATTCGGCGCTGCTTAGGTTATAATAACAGTTCAATGAGCTAAAAGAAATAAAAACGAAGATCACTTACTCATTTATTATTTTAATCTTTCTGTTTATATCATTTTAAAAGAATAAATAAAAATTTAGCAAAATTTGTGAGGAATCTTAGGGGCTACCTTTTAAATAAATGTTGTAAATAAATTAACTAAATATTATTGACTTTTGATTAAATAAACTTTTTTTTATTAAAAATACGACCCTGCATTGCACAGCTCTTGGTAAATTTGAACAAATAATTTTCGTGCTTATTTCCGAAAGCTATATTATCCTAGAAATTGATGTGATAGTTTGTTGGTTAAGAGCTTGTTTCACTTCTTTGGTCAGGTCGGTTCTTTATAATTTTAACTATAATTTTGCTATCTGCATGTACGTAAGCTAACAATTAATAAATATTGAAAATAAATCCTCTTAACCTGTTTTACTCAACTCAGTAATTTAAAGCAGGGCTTAAGGCTATTTACTCAGCTTTTAAAATGAATTTATGTACGTGGGTTTTTTATAATTTATAGTTTTTTATTTAACAGGACATCGATAAGGATTATATACAACCACCCACCTGTAGTAGGTTGGTTATATAGCCTTTCAGTTAAGATGCACCACAGTTACAAACCTTATATACATTATTTTTAAAACTATTTATTATTAGTTTTTCGTCCGACAAGATTTATAGCTTTTTTCTTTCGTGCTATTTTAGATTTTGAATTTTAGAGTCAACTTTAAAGTAGACCTTAGTCTAATGCTCGAGTCCGGCCACCATAACTCGATCTAGACTCTGCTACCAAACTTGGTGTAATCTAGTGTTTTTTTGCGAGGATGAAAAGATTGTTCCCATCTCCGGACATTGATGGCTCAATAACTTCATAACGACACTGCTAGGCTTACAGGTATATTAGACTAACCGACCGAATTCTATACATCCTTACTGAATCCAACAACAAAGAAGCTGTCCCTCTAGAAAAAATTCACCAACGAGATATACACCAGTGAAAAGGACTTAGTATAGATGGTAGAACAATTCATATCTAATGGCTTCGAAAGAATGATAGAGTAGTTAGATTTCTAAGTTTTTAGCTGACTTATAGTACCTTCTTACATGCCAAGTGCCGCAAACCTTGTTCGAAGTAACAGTGGCGTTAACTTTAGGGGGCCATTGAAAAAACTCTGGTTGTGCACTACTACTGAGGATATACTTTTATAACAAGTCAGCTCACATTTTGATACAACCAAGTTTTGGTGCATTAAGGTCAAAGTACATGTCTAAAAGTGGAAAAACACGCTAACTATTTTACTCTAGATCTCCATTTAGAGTGATTTATATATAAATAGTTTTTCCTAAGTGGTTAGTATCTAGGTCCTTGCTAATCAAGTTTAGTTAACTAGTAATACCCACTAAAGTAGATTTAGGTAAGATAATTTGGGAGGCAAAACTTTGTTAAATTAATGACTCGGGTATAATAACTATGTTTGACAAAGGAACGGAAACTGAATTAATAAACTGCTAGTAGTTTTAGCCTGCCAACACCCCTTTCGCCCTTCCGCTTCAGGTATGCCTTAGCTTTCGTTCGCGATTATCTAATTATGAACTTAAAGGTTACTTATTCATTTTTACGCCGTTCGTCTTTAAAGTAGAAACAGCGTAGAATATACATTTAAAGGATTTTCGTATTAACTAGGGGCCTGCTATGGTTATTGGAAATTTGATCTACCACTATGTATAAAATAGTCTGTATAAAAGCATTAGCCCACAAGGGTTGCTAGGAAAATAACCATAATGATTCTTTCCTTCTAAAGCTACTAGTAGTCTATACCAAAAACTCACGCTCTAATAAAGTCCACTATTTTTTTTACATATCCTTATTTAAAAAAACAGTCTACTAAGTGACTACAATACTACTGGTAATCATCGTCTACAAAAAAAGTGTTAGAGGGCGAGCTATAACGCTCGTCCGTCTCGGCTCTGTAGCTTGCTTCTTCGGCTATAGCTTCCTTCATTGGACTGTTACTATAGTGATGTCAGTCTTAGCTCTCAATTGAATATCCTTTTAAGGCAACTTTTAAGCTGCGGCCGGAGACTGAACAGTTGCCTTTTTTAGTCCCTTTTTACTCCTAGGTCGCAACACGTACAAGTGCTTGTTACACAAGCCTTTTAAACTAAGGTCGGTAAGTGTTGTCATTTGTAGGCAACGTACAAGTTGAATGTAGTTCATCTCCTTTGGGCGTGTGGCCCTCTACTATTCTAAATGTCAGATTTTGCTGGTGTTCTATTTGACAATTAAATCAACTTTTGCTAGTAAAGACAGGTGGAATCCTAACCATGGTATATCCCTTTTTAAAGCTCTTAGCTTTGGGTTAGCATGCATTACTAAGAATTCTAGGTTGCGTCTATGACTTAAATACCCCACGAGTTGAGAGGCTGGTATAGCAAAGACACGGTTTTAGCATTCGTCCTTAATTGGGTGACAGATTTTCTACGTCTTTTCTAAATGCTCTATTATTCCGATCCTGCTTAGGTTCTGCTGAGGATCTGTCAGAAAGAGTAAGTCAATTATGATAGGCCATATATAAAGTTACTATTTTGATCATCACTACATTGTTTGACTTTAACATTTTCAAGGGTAAGAGTTGAATTTTGTTGCTAATATTTATTTTATTTTTATATACCAACTGTTCAAGCAGAGAAAATTAATTAAGCGGATGTATTTTTTTTCAAACTCTTAAATTCATACTTAATTTCCACGTGATCTTTAAATTCTTATTTAGCGGTATTATCACGGAGAGTGGCTTTAAGAAACGTAATATAAAATATGCACAGAAAAAATTTAATAAAAAGTATATACGATATACACAGTTAAGCTGCTTTCTTATACCACAACACGTCCACTCAAGAAACAGAGGAGGATAATTAGCTCTCCTTCAGCGGGGTCCTTGTCATTACTGTTGACTGACCTGCTAAATTATTGTACGAGGTCGCCAACGCATTTCCTATAAACGTACCGAATATTTTTATTTTATATTTTTTAAAGAGCTCTGTAGAATTTCTTGCAGACTACTTTAAATCATATATAGAAAAAAAAAGCATGACCCTAGTAGACAATTTACCCTTTTTTAACAATTGGTCAAGAAATATTTGTCCTTGCTCATTAGATGGTAATATTTATGTACATATCCAGAAGAGCTCTTCAAGACGTAAACCAAATTTTGTGTAAAAAGCTGTATCAATAGCTTCAAGGTGTAATGAATTTTAGTTATTTATTTCCACAATAATTAAACAAACGAAAATTTCCTGAAAAGAACAGTTAAGTCAACTTCATTAACAACCATGCCTAGCGCCAGTTGGTACCTTCTGGCTGATAGCCTTTCTTTATATAATATATATCTATGTTTACAAAAACTTCAAATGTTTTGTAGCGTATGTTTTAAGTTGAGGAGTAGAAATAACACTTTGCAAGGTCCCTACAAGCAATTTTAGTATGGACTATGCTATGCATACCAGTAGGTAACGCACTAAGGACACTAATTGGTCCCATTAGCCTTCATTACCTTTTTATAGGCGCCATAGCAGTTGCATATACTAATTGGCAGGTAGGGAGTTATCGCACGAAAGTTGTGCCGTAATCATATCTATAACGTCTCGTGCAGTGGTGCTTGGCTTACAGCCTGGCTAGAGTATACGATAAAAAATTTGTAGTTTGTGGGTTTCGTATTTACTCCTTAATTCTAAAACTTTAGTAGGAGAGCTTCAATTTAACTTGAGCACGATTCCATTCTTTCCAGCAAGAGTTAAGTGTACTGCACCAATTAATTGGTTTATTACTAAATACACAATAACGGTGGTAACAATTAATATAAATTATTATAAATTAATTACCAAGAAATATGTAAAATTATATGTGTGCTCTTCCTGCAGCGGTTGCAAAGGCGTATGTAGCCTATTATAGAATTCCGAATATTCGAACTTATCCTTTAGCTTTTTCACTTAAACTTTTTTCTTTTACGCCTTCGCTAACATACAGTCGTGTATCTGTCTTATGACTTTAAAAAAATTTAACAGAAACAGAAAAGTATTGCAAGTTTCATCTTACAAAAGAAATATATAATAAAATATTTTAACAATTTTTATTATTTTAGTTCATGCTTCTTCTAATCACTTAAATTATATAAGTTGGTTCGATGAAACATCAAAAAATTTTAAAAAATAGTTTTAAATCATTTATAGTAGCATAAATGCCACTATTTTTTTAAAAAAAATGTTTAAATATAAATGCCTCTTAATAAATAGTATAGTATACCAATAATGTGCATACTAGCACGGTGCTTTGCTTTTTAGTAATGATTCTATTATTAAAATAAATGCTTACAAAGTATTTGTTTGGCCGAGCGCGGAATCCCCACGTTGTCAGCTTCACCAGGGCAAAGTAGGTTGATTAGCGCTAGAGGTATTCGAATAGTTACTTCTATGACCACTTTAGTCGCATATTCTGAAGCCTCTTCTGAAGAAGAAGAGGTTGAATTATTTTAATAATAAAAGTATGAAGTTCTAATTCACATAAAACCTTTTTTAAAACAAAAAAAATTTAGACAACTTCTGAGCAGAAGGACTTGAATGCCCGACTATTATCTACAAAAAAGAAATTAAAACTAGAAATAGCACCACTTATTGTTTCTAAGGCTCTTTTTATTAATATTATTAACTGAACTAAGTTAATATATAATTTTTATTTGGGATTAAGCTTATTAATAAATAATATAGAGTTAAAAAAAAGACTAAATTTTCTTTATATGATTTGCTTACAAATAAATAACATATACGAAAAGCAATAAGTTAGCTAATATTTTGTTGATTACTTAATAAATGATCCTTAAAATCTAAACAATTTTTTTATATATGTTTACTTTTATAGGAAACAACACTGGCTGTGCCTCGTTTAATAGATCCCACACAAAAAGTTTTATACTACAACCCGAAAGTTGAAGAGGTGTATTTTTTTTTGTTTACTTTTAATCTTTATTTTTTTTAAATTTTTTTTTTAGTTTTCTGGTGTTGACGTTGGCCCTCATAATCCTTATAAAACTAGGCAAGAAGGTGCTATAAGAAACATACTAACAGGTATTCGTTTTTAATATTAATTTTATAACAATCTAATTTTTTGTATTTCTGTAGGAATGATAACTTAAATAATTTTGTTTGTTTTTATATTATTATAAATTTTATTTTAATTATTATTTGAAGCTATTATAACGGTTATTATGATAATTAATTGTTACTTCCCATCAATTGGGTTACAATTTTAAATAAGTTTAGTGAATTTTATTATTTACTGATACTTAATGTTGTCTTTCTTAAAGAATTTTATAAATTTAATGCAGTAATTTTTTTACTGTAATATTATATTTTTTCAGTATATTTAAGTAAATTATTTTGGAGAAATTAAAAATTCTTAATTTTTTTTTGAACTTATATATATAATATTTTTATTGATTAACCTTTAATAGTTTATTAATGATTTTTGTTATATTAAAAAAATTAAGTTTTTATTCTATTTCACTAATTATTGAAGTCAATTATTAGTTGACTTAAAATAAATATAAATTTTTTTTATCAAAAAGTAACCAGCACTTATTTATTTTTTTCAGTTTCTATAATATTTAAATTTTATTACTTTTCTTTATATGCAATTAGAGTTTTAAATCCCTTGAGATTGACTTGTTTCTGAATTTATTTTATTTTATTTTTGACAATCGAAATAATAAACTAAATATCTTGCATTTTATATTATTTAAACTTTTCGTGCACATATAAATTTCTTAGAAAATATTTTGCGTTTATACTAATTTTTTTGTTTTAGTTAAAATAAAGTATAAAAAATAATTTTATTTAAATTTTTAATTAAGCTTTTTTATAAGTAAATCTTACACTTTTTTTTTAATAGTAGTATTTTTATTATAGAATTAGTTTTTGTTTTTCATTTTTTACTTTACTTTATTTTGAGAATATTTTTACTATTTACAAATTGTTTAAATCTTAATATTTATTAATCTGATTAACTTTCAAAGAAAAAAATTTTATTATATTTTTGATATATTAATACTAAAAATTTTGTTTTAAACTTTTTGTATTATGTTATTTGAATTAGTAAAAAACTTCTGTGCATTTGATTTTATTTTTAAGTATCAAAATTGTTGAACTACTACCAATATTTTGTCTTTCAATACAATATTATAATTTTTAATAAGAATTATTGATTCCATTGATTTTTATTATTATTTATTTCAGCTTTTTTTTTAATTTATTTCTCTTATAATACTTTTTGAGTAGTGCTTTTTTAATACATATTTAAACCATTAATATTAAACTAATTTATAAAATTTGCTTTGCTAAATTTTATTTTTATTAATTTTGATAAAAACTTCTATTATATTTTTAATATTAATTTTGCTTTTATAAGGTTACTCTTTAAAAATTTATTATAATTTATAAAACTGTTTTTCTTTACATTATGTTTTGTGAGAATAATACTTTTTTTACAATTTTAAAATTATTTACTTTTTTAAGTTTTATTATTATTAATATTATTTACTTTTATACATTATTTTTTATTACTTGTTATTTTTTTTATATCTTTACGTGGTTTCCAGGTTATGTGGAAGATGCTGCTTTCAGTGAATTTGCTTTTGAAGAGCAAAGAAGAACTTTTGAACAACTCGGGTTTTTTATATTATTATATTATCATTATTATAGTAATGAATTTCTTATTCATGTTTTTTTATAATGGTATTGTTATTGTTTATCATTATTATAATTGTATTATTAAAAAGTTTTTTATTTTATTATTAGACAACTTCTAGTTAAATTATAATATATTTTATATTTTGATTGTTTTTCTTTTAATATTTAATATTAATATTGTTGGTTACAAGGATTTATAATAATTATTATTTAGTCCCTTATTAATTATAACATTTCATTACTATAGCATTTGATATAAAGATCAACATTATAAATACGTGAAATTTACATAACAATACAATAAAACTTTTTTGCAACTTTTTTTTTTACTAAATTTTAATAATAATTATTTTTTTAAATTTTATTATTATATTTGAAATATAGTTATAAAATTTTATTAAGGGTAACTTTATTGTGTTTTTTTATTTATTTATTTATTTATTATTTGAATATCATTGATTATTACTATTTAATAATTAATATGGTTATGTTGTAGAATTAAAAAATTTAGTTCATTATTTATTATTAATGTTACTTGCTTGTATTTTTTGTTAATTATTTACTTAATTTTAATTTATAATAATATTATTTTATTATTAGTTATGCAGCGGATCCAGCAATGGCCTTAGAAGCTGTAGGAGATACCGAGAAGGCTAAATCCCTTAAAAATGCTACAATTTATGATTCAACTTTAAAGATAAAGCATGATAGGCCAAGGTTATTATTATTTAATATTATATTTTAACTTATTATCCTTATAATTGTTTATATTTTATCTATTACTATTACTATTATTCCTTTTTTTAATTTTTTTTTAATTACTATATTATTATGGTAAGCCACTCGTAGTTTAGTTAACTCTTTTCTTTTGGAATAACATGAATAAAAAAAACTTCTACTATGCAAGATATTTTTGAAGACATCAAAATTTTTTGACATGTTAAAATAAAATGAATTTTTTTAGTTTACCAAATAAAAATAAAAAGTTTATTTGTGAAGTTTCGAACGCAATTTTTATTAGTGCGTATATTTTGGTAATTTTCAATAAAAAATTATAAAAAAAGCACTGAAAATTGCAGAGTAAAATTTATTGTTTATTATGTGATTAATCATATGTATCATATATAATATTTATTTATTTATATTATTTGTTTAATTTTTTATATTCCTACTTTATATTTAATATTAATTATTTAGTAAATAATTTATTTACAATTTTTTTTTAAATCTATAATATTTAATTTAAATTCTGATAGCTTAAGTTATATCATTTTCATATAATTTACAATTTATGGTTTCATATATTTATATATTTCATATTATTCTTAGTTCCGTTTACTTTTTATATAAATTACTTGTTTGCAAAAATATTAAATATTGTGGGTATATGTATCTATTGAGTTTTTTTTTGGAAGTGAATCATACACGTTATAAATTAATGAAAATCTCTTATATTAGGCCTTTTTTTTTATTTATTTAATATTTAATTAATTGTATTATTTTTGTTATCAATAAAATAAGTGACGTAATAATACTTTTTTCATTTCATACTTGTTTTTTTTTTAATAATTATTATTTTTGCAACTTCCTCGATAATAAATTTATACCTGCATATACTTCAAGTTTACTTTTTCATTATATTATATGCTTTTATTAATTTTTATGATTACTATTAATAAGTTTTATATTATTATTAAAAGTTCATGTAGCTTGCTTCCTAGCACGTGGTTCTGCGAACCTTACATTGATTTTTTTATTAATATTTATAAACTTATAAAAAATAATTATTATATAATTTTTTTTTAATATTTAATTTTTCTATTATATTAACTTTTCCATAAAACTTTATATTTTTTATATATTTTAAAAAAATATGTAATTATTTTGATATACTTTTTTTATATTTTTACTACAATAAAAAGTTTTTGTTATGAATTTATTTATTACTTTTATTTTATAAATAAATTTACTTTTTTTTTTTCTTCATTTTTTATATACTTTTAATTTATTTAAATTATTTTATTTCACTTTTTTTATATTTTTAAATGTAACAAAAAGTTTTTATATATTTATATGGTTATTTATTATTTTTAATTTATAATTTTTTTTAATATATCTTTATATATAATATAAAATTTTATATCTATATTTAATATTAATAATTATTTGCTACCTATGGTAGGAATATTTCTATGTATTTCCCTTTTTAATATATTTTATTATTACTACATTTAATAAAACTATATTTTTATTAATTAAATTATATACTTTATTTTCTATAAAAATGAATTTTTTTTATATTTTATGTAATAGATTTCATATTCTCATTATTTTTATTATAAGTTAAAATGTTTATTAGTAAATTTAAATACATATTTATTCTATTATTTTTTTGTTATTATAGTTATTATATTTTATTTAATAAAGAAAACATTTAGGAGTTATCTATTATTATTTAACTTTTTTTTTTCTATTAACTTATTATATTTTATTAATATATTTTGAATTATATCTTCTATTTATTTTATACTTTTGTTTATATTGGAAATTCTTAAATATATTTTAAATTGTATTAAGTTATTACAAAATTATATTAATAACTCTAAGAAGTTAAATATTATATATATACTATAATTTTCTTACTTTTATTTTTATTTTATTATATTCTTGTTAGATTCTTAACATATTATTTAAATTTGTTTTTCTCTTTTTATTTTTTTAAAATTATTGTCGAGTTTTTTATAATTATATATTTTTACAGTTTTTTCCTTAAATATTTTTAAAATATTTTTTGTATTATATTTTTATGTAATGAGATTTATTTCTAACATACTAATATTAAATTTATATAGAATTTTTACTTTTTACTATAGTTTTATTATTTATTTTGTCATATAGTTTATCTTTTGGTATTTTATTGCTCTTTTTATTTTTTTATAAACTAAATACAATTTATATATATTACAATTCTTTACATTCATTTTATTATGCTTCAATATATTTAAATTACGTTATATTTATTTTTTTGCTAACATTAAAGCTTTTATTTTTTTTTATTTCGCTCTTCTGTTGATATTATTGTTTTTCATATATTTTTTAATAATAATTTTTATTTTGAAGATTATTAAATGTATTAATATTATTGTTTTTATAGTAAATATGAAATTTTTTATGTTGTATATAATTCTATTATAATTATTTATCGTTGCTTTACACTATAAAACTTTTTAATGAAACTTTTTATATATATAATATATTTTTGTTGTTTTTTTAGTTTAAATTTTGAGAAGATTAATTATTTTCTTTCGTATATGTTTTATTATAAATTTAATGAGTTCCACTTAAAAAGTTCATTTTTGTTAAAGTTGAGAAATTATTTTTAATACTTGAAAAACTTGTTAATAATTTTTAGAATTTATTTTATAGTATTATATGCTGAAAGTTTGTTTAATGTTTATTATATTTATTATATAAAAACTATTCTCTACTTTTTTTTAGAGAAGATTACGGTGATGTTAGCGATGTCAATAATTTTCGAGGCGTTTGGCGTAAATATACTGATGAACAAATCATCGCGGCGCCTACAAAAGTTTTTTTAAGAATGATTTGTTCAATAGTGATTTGCTTAATTTTTTTTTCACTTTTTTTTAGGAAGAACAGGAATTGTTGGATAGCTGGAAAGAAAAGGCGACCTCTTCCTTTGGCGTAAAAGGTTTTTATGTAATATTATAATTATAATATAATAATAATAAGTTTTTAGTCTGATAAGTTATTTTTGAGGTAAACAATAACGTTAATATTTTATGGGAAATATACTTAACTTAACAAAATGAGTTAACATATATTAAAAGTTTTATATCGAAAAGTTATTGACCTTTTTTTTCAGTTTATGAATATTATAGCATTTTTATATATATTTTAAATTTTTTATATGTACTAAAAAAATTGTTTACTTGCATTAATTATATTTTTTTTGTTTTTAATACTTGAATAAATATTAAGAGCTTATTCGAAAAGAGAGTATAGGGGGGAAAAGTTATATTTAAACGTGCGAATCAAGGTTTAGTATTATAAGGAACAGCCAATAGCATATCTTTTTACTCTACATCATTATTTAGTTAATCAACGTTATTTTCATTTATGGTAAAGCGTGTCCACTAATCATATTTTGTTTATTAAAGTTTTCATCATGAATTATTAAGTAAAGAATTTGTGAAACGTTTATTATTTTTTCATTTAATGATATTATTTTTATTTATTTAAGGAAAGCCGAAAGACTTTACTGAAAAGTCGGTTCTGCACTGTACGTGTCACGTATACCATCACAAATGTATTTTTTTATTTATTTTTATAAAAGTAAAAGAAACTCATGACTATCAGGGAAGAACTTTCATGGAGACTCCGAAGGGTTGCTTGTTTATTATTATAATACTTTTTTGTACAACCCGAAAGTTGTTTTAATAATATTTTTAAATACTTTATTATTATTTACGACCTTGAGGGTGTTTTTGTACTTATTACTAATTTTTACTTTTTTATATATTAAAGTTGTTATTATTTTTATTTTTCAATATTTTTTTAACCATTTATTTTATCTGTTTTTTTCGTACACAATAAATATGTTTTATTGTATTAAATATTTTGTTTACTATACATAATAGTAAATTATATTTAATATTTTTTTTTAACTATATTAATATTATAAGCAATATTTATTAATATTTTTAATATTTATTTATTATTTTATTTTATTATTATTTTCATTATATGTATTAGTGTAAACTATATCACTTATTTATTGTAATATATAGTCTCATATTTTTTTGTATTAGTATTTTGTTATTTATTTTCTGTACTATACTTTTTGGTTTTTCCGTTATTATTCATTACTTTAAAAAAAATTATGTAATCTTATTTATATATAATCTATTTTTTTCCTTTTTATTTATATTATAATTAATAAGTTATATTTTATGTTTCTTTTTATATTTTTAAATTTTTATAATTATTTACTTTTGTAAAATTTTTATTTTTTATTATTAACTTAATAGTGGTCTGTAATATATTTGGTGTAAGATATATTTGTTAACCAATTTTTTTTATTAGTACTTTTCTCTCTACTTTTATCATTATTTTTGAAATTTATTATTTTTTGAATAAATAATTTTAATATTTAATTTTTGTTTTATTCTAATAATAATGAATTGTTTATAATAAATATTAGGATTAATATGGTTTTATTATTTTGTATTTTCTTATATAAACATTTTTATATTCTATAGAAATTTATTTCATAGTATTAAAAAAAATTTATTTAATATTTCTTTAAGTAACTTTCATTATTTGTTTTTTTTATTTTTATTAAAAAAAAATTTTGTATATTAAAAATATAATTGTAATATTTACATAATTTTATTCTTTTTAATATAGTGAGTATTATATATAGTAATTTTTTTTAGAAATCTTCTTATATATTATTATAACATTTTTATTATATTATTGCTATTGGTTATATTTTTAATAAGTGTAATTATTTATAAATATTCATATATGTATTATTATATTACAAACCTTTTAATATTTGTTATTAATGGTTTTATTTTTACCAAAAATGCATTAATTTTTAAATATTAATATGATAGTATATTAACATTTTTATTATTTTATTGTTTTTATTATATATTTATAAAAAATTGTTAGCTAATATATTTTGTATATACATTTTAATATATTCTATATATATATATATTTGTATATTACTTTATTTGATTCTTTTTTTCTTTACTTTTAGAATTCCTTTTATTATTTATTCAAAGTTTTGTTAATTATGATTGTATATTATTTTTCCAATAACATTTATATTGTTATACAGTACTGTGTTTTTTTTTATAAATATGTTTTTTATGTAAACGTTTTTTTAGAGAACTTATTATAAATATATTATATATGTAAGTCCTATTAAAAATTTTTTTTGAAGAGAACTTATTTTTACTATATTAATAATTTTTGGAAGTATATATATTTACATATTATTATATAATTTCTTGTAATTAATTAATATTTTAGTATTTTATTATATTCTATAATTTTATATACAAATTTTTGTTTTTTTAATTTTTACAAGTAGAACAGTGAGTGATTTTAAGTATATTTTTTTGTAAAATATTGTTTAGTTTATTATTATTATTAAGAATTTAATTTTTCTATGAATACATTTCTCAATATTATTATTATTTGTAAAGTTTATATTCTTTTTTTTCAATATATTTATATTTTGATAGAAAAACTTTTAAGTTATTAATAGCATTTTAACTCTATTGTTTCCAACTTATTACTTTTGTACATTATTTAATTATTAAAATTCTGTAAAAAACAGTTTACAATTATTAGGCGTCATTATAATTGTAGTTGTTCTTTTTTTTATGAATCTTGTAAAACCTTTATTATTAATTCTTACTATCATTACGCTTGCTACTTTCTAGAGATATATTATATATTATAAATTTTCAATATTTATTATATTTATAACTTATCAATTTATTTTTTAATGTTATAATATAATGAACTTTAATTTGTATATTATATATATTTCGTTGATAGTTATTACCTATTATTATCTATATATAAAGTTTTATTGTTGAACTTTTTTAAATTATTAGTAGTATTTTCAAAATTATTATAATATTTTTGAAAACAACTTTTTTTTGTTATCTTCATATATATAATTGTGTTTAAATAATTAACTAAATACTAGTATTTAACTTTTTAAATATTCCTTTTATTATTATTTTTATATACTTTTCTATTTTAAAGTATTATTAAAGATAATCAAAACACTTTATATTTTATTTTAATAAACATTTTTGATATTAATGATATTAAAAATTTTATAATGACGATTTATCATTGGCTATAAACGGTCAGGTGTTGGATCCACGCGACTCGACGACCCTTCTGCTGTCCCCGAACGATGTTTTCTTCCTAAGAAACATATTTACACTTGGTTTGACTTTTTTCATTATTTTTATGGACAATTGAATAACCACGCTAGTTTAGCTCATTTAGAATTCTTTATTATATTTTTTATAAAATTAATAATACAGCTCTTTTTTTATTTGTAGTAAATTATTAAACTTAGTTATGAATGTTTACAATAAAAGTTTTGTATAGCTATCTTAATTGTAGACGCTGATATTTTTATGATAATAGCATATAGTATGCTATAATAATAATTGTAATAAAAATAAAGTTTATTTCTAAATTTAAACCAACCTATACCACATATAAACACTAAAGTTTTTTAATATATTTTTAACTAATTATTATATAATAATTTTTTAGTTTAGCTATTTTTTATGACTCTTTTTTAGTTATGAATAAAACATACAAGTATCTTGTTGTTATAATAAACGTAAGTAGGGATAAAAGTGATCAACACAATTCCTTATAATTTAATATATTTATTTTTTATATTTAATTTTTTGAGATGTGATTGGTGTAATAATTGTTTCCTTTTATGTTAATTATAATATTTGCTATAGTAACTTTTATCGTTTTTTAGTGAGCTCTTTATTTTAGTTGTTGGTTCTTCGGTTTTTTATTATAAGCATGAAGGTCGTTTAATTTTTAAGCACAATTGGTGTTTAGTGTGGGGCTTATATATCATATTAATATATAGATATTATTATAAATTTTCAAATACGCTGAACTTTACTTCACTATATTTATGGTAAACCTTTAAGAGTGGTAACATTACGACATATTAATATAAAAAAAATTTATAATTTGGGCGCGACAACAGTTTTTTTTATTAAGTACTATTTATTTCTTTTTCTATTGGTTCTTTTTTTGAAGGAAGTTTTTTTAATTACTCTTCATTATATATATTAGTATTTACAATAATAAACTTTTGTTATGTTTATGCTGAACTATTTTTCATAAAAAACTTTGTAAAATATTATATTCTTTATATTAAAGGACCGGTCACACTAAAGGTGTCGCTGTGATTCGTTTATTCCCCATTTCGGGTCATTTGCTTTTGTCCGGAGGAATGGACAGTAAAATTAAGGCGTGTATTCTCCCAATTGATTGGTTTATATCTATAGTATAATGGCATTAAATGGCTCATTCTTCAGTTGTGGGAATATTACGGTCAACGCCGTTGCATACGTACATATGTGGGTATAGTTTTTATCTTTATTATTATTATTATTATTATTGTTATTATTATTATTATTATTACTAATATAGGCCATTTTGAAGCAGTTGTGGATCTCTGTTTTAACAATGACGGCACGAAATTTTTAAGTTGTAGTTTTGATAAATATATAAAGTTATGGAATACAGAAACGGGTATGTTTGAAAAATATATTTCTGCGCTAATTTTTTATGTTTATGCTGGGGACGGTTTTGGTTATTTTTAAATTTTTTTTTACAGGGGAATGTCTAAGTCGCTTTTCTACTGGAAAGGTTTTCATATATTTTAATGTCAACTTAGTTTTTACCCAATTGTCTTATTTAAAATTAATATAAATTTTTTTTATTTTTAATTGATTTTATTAAAATAATGAGTTAAATTTTTATAAAAACGGAAACTTAAGGGTAAAACTATAAATATATTAATAGTGATTACCGATTATTTTTTATATATTAATGAATTCATATAAACAATGAACTTTATTGACCTTTTCAAGTAATAAATTTAGAAGACATGTAGTATTGTTAGTACGTTATTATTAATACTATTAAAAAAAAAATAAAAGTTTTTTGTATAAACATTTTTGAAATTAATATAAAAGGGGTAATATATAAATTATAAAAATTTCTATTAAAATTGGTACTGTTTACCTTTATTTTTGTTAACTTGAATGTAAATAATAAACTATACTTTAACAATTTATGAATTTAATAAAAATCAAAATAATGAAGTTTGACTCATTTTTTTTATTAAGAAAAATTAAGAAAATATTTAAACTATTGTTTACCAATCAAGTTACTAATAAATTATTTAAGACAAATTATGACTTTAAAAAGATTTTATTGTTAAGTTAGCCAGTCTGATTGATAGTAAATTTCTAATTTATGAAAAAAATGTACTATATATCAACGAATTCTTTGATAATACATGTTATTATAAGAAAAAATAATAAACTATTAATAATATTGTCACAGTTTTTGTTAATAAAACCTTATAAAAAAATATTAATATTTTTTTTTACTATAAAAAAATCTAATAATATGATATAATGAACTATATTTCCATAGTAAATATAAAATAATAGTTTTTGTTGATAAAATATTATAGATATATTTAGTATAATATTATATATATATATTACTTATTGTAATTTTTCTTATTCTCATTCTTGTTAATTTTTTAATATATATACTTTATTATCATTTATTATTAATTTTCAAGTTTATTTTGGTGTAATGTTTTATTATTCTAATTACATTATATATACAGCAGTTGTTTTTGTATATAATTAACTTTTATATAATGTAAGTTATATAACTTTATATTGAATTTTTTTATTAAGTTTGTTGTACATTTTTTATAACAGAAAAGGTGACGAATAAAAGATATTAAAAATAATGAACTACAAAGAATGTTAAAAAACTCTAGTTAGCCATTTTTAATGATAAAACACAATTCTGTAATAATAAGGACTATTTTTTGCTTTAACTTATTAAACAATGATTTGTTAGCCAATTACATTACTAAATAATACTAATCTCTAAGAAAAGTTCATACTAGCCTATCACTCTTAGGTTATTAATTAGTAATGAAGCAGTTTTACAAATTCTTATAGAATTTAGCCAGTTCAATGAAGAAGAAATTATTTTATAATATAATTATAATATAAAATTTAGTTAAAATGTTATAATGCGTTTTTTATAGAAGTATAAATTAGATTTGCTAATGGTTATATTTATTTAATTGTTATTATTCTAATGAAACTGCCTTCAGGTTCCACGTTGCGTTCGTTTCAATCCGGCTCCTGACAAGCAGCACATGTTCGTGGCGGGCTGCAAAGACAAAAAGATTGTTCAGGTGTATAGATATTAATTTTTTATTGGTCTATATTATAGAAATTTTTTTATTTTTTTTATGCTTTAGTGGGATATCAATACAGGCGAAGTTGTTCAGGAGTACGATAGACATTTAGGTTTATATAATTATGATAATTACAATAATATTTTAATTTATAATTTTCATGAATAATAATAAAATATAAAGTTTCTAATAATATTATTTATATTTTAAGTTATAAATATTGTATTACTCGTAATAGTAATAATGATAATACTAGGAGCTGTCAATACAGTAACTTTTACTGAGGAAGGCAACCGTTTTGTGTCCACATCAGGCAAATTCTTTTAAGAGCTCTATGATTATTGCATATATATGTTTTTTTATACCCAATAGTAATAATAGTATAAATAATAGATGATCAAAGTATTCGCGTGTGGGAGTGGGAAATTCCCGTTGACTTTAAATATATTGCCGAACCCACCCAACATTCCATGCCAAAAACCGCCATCCATCCCAATGGTTTATTATATTTATAATTATAATAATTATTATTATGATTATTATGATTATTATTATTAAAGTTATTATTATAATTTCTAGGGAAATGGATTTGCTTTCAAAGTATGGATAACTTTATATATGTTTTTTCTGCGAGTGGAAGGTATTACTATTTTTTTGTGGTTTATAAAACTGTGAAATGTTATAAGTTAAATGGTCACTATCATTAATATTCTTAGTATTATATAATAATAAAAGTTAAAAAAAAATAATTTCCTTTTTTTGGTAGAAATATTTATATTATTTATTTTTCTAATTTTTTTAGATTTTACACTAAAAATAATTATAATTTCATTTGTTATTTTAACCGTTTTTATGTTTTTACCACAAAAGTTCATTTTAGTATGCTGAATATTATTTTTTTATATTTAATTATTTAAAAAACTTTATAGTGCTGTTGTTATGGTTTTCCTTTTATTCATCTTCTTTTGTATGCTTTTTTTATTCAAAAAAGGCATACCACCTTTATAATTACTATTTATTTTTTATTATACATTTTTTATAATTGTTTTACACCTTTTTCTTGTTTTTCTTATATTTCCTTTTTTTCTGAGATTTTATTCTTTTTTTATTGTCCTTTTTTTTTTAATTCTTACGTTTATTTTTTTATGAAACTTTATAATATTGTATTATAAATGAAATAATAATAATAGATATCGGCAGCACAAAAAGAAACGCTTTTCTGGCCATCTGACTGCCGGCTACGCCTGTGACGTTAACTTTTCTCCTGATGGAAAGTACTGATAATTATTATTTACGAGTAAATATAGTATTAAAAAATGCCAAAAGGAGAAAATAAAAAGTTTAAAGTTTAAGAAATATAAGAATATAAAGTAAAAAATATATAAAACTCTAAAACGTGAACTTAAGAAAATATTCAATTTTTTTATTATATTTCATTAAAATTCGAAGTATAAAAATAGTAGGGAGTAGGCAAATAAAACTAAAGAAGTTGCAAGAAGAAAGTATATAAAAAGTATATTGATAAGTTTATTAACTACAACAATGTAAAGGAAAAAAATAATTACTAAAGAGAATGAGAAAATACTAATCGATAGTAGAAAAATTTAAACAATTATAAAAATTTTCATATAATCTAAATTATTTGTAGTATAATATACTGACTTGTATATAATTTATGATAAAGAACTAAATTTATCATATTAAAAAAGTTGATTTAAATATATATATTAATGGTTAGATAACATTATTTTATGATAATTTAATAAAATAATAATCATACTAGTTAAGCATTACTTATATGTAGATGCTTATCAAATTTATATAATATAATTATAAGAACCATAAAATATTTTATATTTTAAATATAACGTATTTTTAAACTTTGAAAAAAATTAAAAATAATTACTACATTTATATAAAATATTTTATTGTACATAAAAAAATTATTTATATCATTATTATAAAAATATATAAGAAATGAAAATTATTAAATCTATTTGTATACTTTTTATATAATTATATACAAAGAAAATTTCTAAAAGTTAATAGGAAACTTTTAGTATAATTAAAGAATAATTATTATATATTTTAATAAGTTTATTTTTATTATTATCGCCAAATAAATAAATATATAATTAAATTATTTTTTATTGTACACAAACTTTATTTCATAATTAATAATTATTACTTAATAACGAAAAAAAAATAATTTTATTAAAGACTTGAAGGAACTTTTAGAATTATTATCTGAAAGTAATAATTATTAATAGTTTATTGTTTATAAAAATTATTAATATAATAAAAATAATAATTTAAAACTATTTAAAATATATACTCTAAAATTTAAAAGTTTATTCATTTTATATATATTATTTATACTAAAAATATATTTTTTTATTGGTATAAAGATGATATTTAAAAAATGAAATGTTTTTAATATACAAATTCAATTTCTTTTATTGTATATATAAAATTTTTATATAATTATTATTACTTCATAATGGAAATAAATTTATCTTTATAATTTATTAAAATATTTAAAGTTATAATATATAATAAACTTAGTAATAGTTTTGTATGTAGACACAACTTATATTATTTTGTATATAAATTTTTTTTTACGTATATTACTAATTTGAATTTTTTTTATTTATAATAAAAAATTAATGTATAATTAAGTTTATTTTATAGCTCATGAGAAACTTTTATTTATTATATTGAAGGATAAACTATAAATGTTATTATATATTGTTAACATTAAAAAAAAAAGATGTAGATTGATAACACAAAAACTGCAATATGAATTAAAATTTTAATTACTATAAATTCATTGATTATTAGAAACTTTTGAAAAGTAAAAAATTATTAATATACTGTTCTTGTAAATAATTTTTTTAATAAATTGAAATCTTTTAATGAAATCATTTTTGTTACATTTTTTAATCGGAAAAAGTAATTTTTTTTTTTGTTGTTATATAACTAAAAAAAATAGATTAATTAATTATAAATTTTTATAGTAAAAGTTAGTTTATTTTATTTGTACCTAAAAATATTATTAATATTATTTTATTTTTATTTAAAATTAAACTAATGATATATATATTAAGCACATATATTGAAACTGATACCACTGTCTTACATATGATAAAAAACTTTCAATTTTTCTCATGAAATAAAGAATTTATGTATTATATATAAAATTCTTTTTATATTTGTAAATAAAGTTAATATTGTAACATTTTCTATCTTACCTAAAAATTATATTAAACTATAATAATATATATTTACTTACAAAACTTTTTATCTATTCATAAAAATATTTTTTTTAAAAAAAATTAAAAATTTTATTAAAAATGAATTTTATATAATTAATATAAGTATAATAAAGAAATAAAAGCTTTTTTACTATCTTAACTATTTTTTTAAACTTTTTATTAGAACATATATTCTCAATTTTACTTCCTAATTTTTATTCTTGTTTTTTTTGAATTGTATATTGTCAGTTGTATTTTTCTTTGCTTTTTAAAATTGTATTTTGCTTACAAATTTTATAACTTAAAAAAGTTATTAATAATTAGCATCATTAAAATAACTTTTTATATTGTTATTAATTACATTAAATTTAAAAATATTTCGTAATTCATATTTATACAAAATTTTACTAAACATTATGTATCTGCGCCTTTTTATTATTGTACAATTATTATTATTATTACAAGTTTCATACACTAATAAATACATGTATATATGTAAAAAGTATTGGACGATGTTTTTATTATATTGTTTATAAATTATTTCAAGTTTAATAATATTAAAAATCTGAAATTTTAAGTTGGCATTATAAATTATTTTTAATTCTATAATTTTAACTTCTAATATATATTTCTATTATAATTTTGTTATGAATCTATTATTGATTCATTTTGTTGTCTCGAATTTTATTATAAACAAATAATTTTATTTCTATTTATTAATATTAAAGCCTAAATTATATATTTATAATAATAGGTAATTCACTTTTAAAGATTTTTTATTTTATAATTATATATATTAATATAATTTTTTTAGGTTATATATTATTACTAGTCGAGTATATTATTTTCTCTTTATATATTTGAAATCCATGAAGTTATAAAACTTTATTAAATTTCATAAAAATATTTTATTGCAGTCCCAATATATAATAATATTATTTTTTTATTAAAAAATATATAATAAATGAAAAACTTTTATTGATTAATCTTGTTGTTAAGTTATATAATATTATAATTAAATCTTCATAAAAAGTTTATATAAAGAAAAAATATTAAATTTTGTTACAAGTTTATAACTTTCATTAGTCCTTAACGTTTTAAATTTTTATTAGGTTTATAAAAATATTTTTTTATTACTATCACTTTCTATAATTTTCTACTTCTATAAAGTTATTTGCACTAAAATAAAATGTTTATTTATTAATATTTAATATATAATATAAAGTTATTGTTATATTAATACTATTATATTTTTAATCAATTATTTACGAATAGTATTTTCTATCTAATATTATATACACTTTTAGAATGCCTATAGAATTCAATTAAGTAAAGGTTACCTGTGTTAATAATTAAGTTTGTAACTTTTTATAACCGTTACTTGATATATTACGATATCATTACTATACGAGTAAAGTTTTTATATTGTTAATTTAAAACAATTTACTTACTTTTTATACTTTATTAGTTACTTGAAAATTATGATATGATTATTATATAACTTATCTTTTATTATTACTTACAAGAATTTTTTTTTTTTACTTATGCGGATTTTTCTTTTAATTATGTAGTTACGTAATTTCTGGTGATTACGAAGGGCGACTCGTCATTTGGGATTGGAAATCAGGAAAACTATACTCAAAAATGGATTGTCATAAACAAGTCTATTTATAGTTTTATATTTATTTTTATTATCTATTTTTTTTTTTTATTTAATATTTTCCTGTTGATTAATATATTTCTAAAATATTTATATATTATTATTATTTTATTATTTTTTTTAATATTTATCTATTTAAGTTTGGTTGTCACCTACATTTTATTTTTTTCCTATTCACTATTACTATAATTTTTTGTTTGTTTATTAATTACAATGATTATTATTTGATACTTATATATATTTTATTATTGTTATGTTGGTTTTAATTTATTATTATTATAGTTTATTCTTCTACTATTCATATAATATTAGTTAACAAATATTTAATTATTATAATAAGTTTTCTTTTGACACCAACTTCTCAACATAAATAATTGATTTTAAAAAAAATCTCACTAAATTTTTCTCCACTGTTTTTACTAAAAATTTTAACTGTTTATTAGTTACGGTTATTATTATTAATTGATATATACTTATTGATGGTATTATTATTTTCTATGTGTTAAAGATTAGTTTATTTTTTTTTACAATTTTTGTATATTAGTTATAATGTATATGTTATATATTCATACCATTATGATATATTATTGACTTTAATTATTTACTACCTTTTAGTTATTAGTAAATAATAATGAGAAGTTTAATTGTTACAAGCAAGTTATTTATTTTATTATTTACTATTTTTTTTTTGTAATTTTTATTTATTGAAATTTGATTATTGATTGTTACTTTTTTTTTATTGTCTTACATGAACATCATTCTTTTTTATAATGACGATCATTTGAGTCATTTAATAAATTATATTAGTTTATTAACTTTTAATTTTTTTTACGCTTTTTTATTTATTTAGATGTTTATAATGCATTAATATATATATTATAGTAGTTATATAATTAAATATATACTACTTAAATATATATAGTTGCATATAATATTATTTTAAAGAATTATTTTACTAATTAGATTTTGTAATGCTACTTTAGTTACTTTTTTTTAATGGATAATTTCTATTAGTTATACTTATAGAATTTTTTATTTTATAATAACTTATTTATTATATTTCAATCAGCTTGTTATCAATTCCTAAAATATTATTTATGCTTATAATTTTTTATTATCTTTACTTTTTATATAACTCATTTTTAAAACCTTTTTATTATTTAAAACTTTATTTATATAATTTTTTAATTCACAATAATTAAAGTAATTACGGAAAAGTTATTAACTGATGATTTTAATTGTTATTGTTAAAAGGTTACTATTGGCTGCATTTGGCATCCTCACGAACCTTCACAGGTCGTCACGTGCTCTTGGGACGGAACTATTAAACTTTGGGATTAATACGCACGAAATAACTTTTGGAGTTAAACATTCGAAATATTTCTTATGGAAATGATGAGAGCTTAAAAAAAATTGTTTACCTTATATTACTGCACTAAAGAATAAATCGATTATATTTTCATTTTATAATTCAAAAAAATATAATTATATAAAATTTTTCAAAAACCAAAATTAATTTTTTTAAAAAATAAAAAAAAAAAGTTGTCGTGTTATATTTGTCATGAACTAATTTGAAAAAGACAAAAATAATTACTTGAACCCAATAATTATTATGTGGCTAATAATAGGCTATAAAAAACAGATTAATTTCGTTATTAAAATAATATTTATCTACTAAAAGTTATAATAAAGAGTTTAAAAGTGTTTAATATATAAAACGAATTAAAATTTGTCAGCACATACTTATTTTTAATATTATGTTTGCCATTTTGAATAACTATTTAATAAGTATTTAAAGAAGCAACGCAGCAGGACGAGTGCTACAGTAGATTTAACACCGATCAATGTTAATAAGTATATATTTGTTACGCTTTAAATTGCGTTGTTGGCGCACAAATTTTAGTTAAACATTTGCACTAAAATTTTTAGCAACTCTAGTAATGATAACTAGCAAAAAGCTGATAAGCACATTTTTTAAAGAACTTTCTCGCACTGCAGTGGTGCTGCGCTGTCGCTTTAGTGAAAGCTGTTAACTGAATCTTTTGGTACATTCATTATTACTATAAAGAGAAAATGATTGAGAAAAAAGTTAAAAATTTTGAAAAAATTCTCATTTAAATCCAACTGTTTTTCCAAGTAATTTTTATTATCTAACACACTACTTATATATTTATTTTTTTAAAATCGAAGCGAACTTTTATTTTTGAGCAGAATAAAGATGTAAAGGTGACAAAACTCTTCGACTTCCTTCAAATCTAATTACACATAAAGTAAGTTTTGGAGCTCGTCTCTTTTACTATTATTTAGTTATATAGCTTTATATTAAAAGTTATTAAGACAAAATGGTTGTGTTATAATGCGATATTTTCATAACGGATTGCCTGTCATCTGTTAGACCCTTCAATAATAATTGTATTTTTCTTTAAAAAAAAGTTTTAAATTTTATGCGTTATGTATTAATAAACTGACCTTTATAGATCCTAAAGTTGTAACTATTAAAAAAAAACAGTTAGATCACTCCAGACACCTTAACCGGATAAGGTACAAGGCGAGCGCCCCCTTTTGGCCTGTGTTTAAGATAAGAGTCATGCAGTTTGAATTGGTGCGCTTAAGAAATCTATAATAATCGTAATTTTACAGCGCTCTGTAGTACTTCATCTAACCCATACTACATCACTATTCTATGATATACTTTATATTACTATATTATATTACTTTACTCTAATATACAAGTTTTCGAAGACTTAGAGCCTAAAATCAATTTGAACGAAAACTTTTAACATGTGTTCCAAAAAAAACTTTGAAATGGAAGGTCAGTTACATACAAATGATGTAGTTACTAAAACGAAAGGAAAATCGAAAAGGATTTTAAGGAGTGTTTGTCTTGTAGTACTTAGTGTACTAATAAATAAAATCAAGGAGTTAGGGAATAGGTTAAAAGATAAAATTAGAAGTAATCGTGATAGTAGAAGATTTTGTCTTAGTAATCATTCTCGTATTCGGAAGTGTATGAATGAAATGTGTGTGTAATTAACAATATTAAAACAAACGGTAATAAAGAAATTTTAGTGTGAGGAACTGAATGAGAACTCTATCTTTGGGCTCCATTCATTACCTGTGGAGAGTCACATTTATAAAAATTAAAAAAGTATGCTTTAACAAAATTCATTAAAAGAAATTGTATAACGTGTTTGGCGGCTATCGTTATTATACCATTGGTAGTGCACACGTCACGGTTTGTATAAAAGGTAAGCAGGCTTAAATACCAATAAACATCGTAGAGCACGTATTACCAAGCGAAATGGGTGTCCTTCTCTGGAGAAGTGACTATGAGACTCTCTACTCTAAATTGTTTTTGCTGGTGACTCTGCAAGTTAAAAGTGTCGGTAATAAGCACAACTGCAAAGTAGGAAAGGCAACCAAGAAGGGAAGGAGTTTCACAAGTCGATAGAACTTGTAAAAATGGAACTCCAGTTTACGGAGAATAGAGAAAAAATGTACATGTAGCGATTCAATGATGAGGAAAGAAAAGAGTGCGTACTGAGGGTTGATGACAGAAGGTTGATCAGGAGAAACTTAGCCCATCGCATACACGCGGTCTAATGGGATCCGAATGCAAAGTCATAAAATCAAGCCACAAAGTAAGAAATTAAGAGTAGGATTTTGCCCCTGTTTGAAGCACGTACGTGATAAAAGATATTTTGTAGCGCCTGGTGATTTAACGAAAATGTGTAAAGTTTTTGTAAGTGGGGTCCTTAGAACCAACAACAACTATGACTAGAACCATGGACGTTGTAGTAGTCACGCCTGGGTTAATAAATGCTTCTGAGAACGATTTACGGAGACCGAAACCTTCATGAGGATATGTGACGAATTTAGGGGCTTAAAGAAGCAGTGTGTCGTAAAGGGATATAACCCTCCTAATGAAAAATTAATAAATGTGAAGGCTAGGAATAGCAATACTTCACCTTTCTGAATAATGCTAAGGTATTCTACCAAAGAACATTGACTAAAGAAAGCAGGAAGCTCTTTGCCCTTGAATGCTGGATGGTTGTAGTGCGCAATGGACTGTCTTACCATTTGGGTGTATAAATACCTTGTTTGAATACCAAAAAGGGGATGGATACCATAACTTTTGGCTGCCCTATACATATACTTATGTAAATAACTGCCTAATATGTAGTAAAAATAAACTGGATCACTGCAACTTTCTATGTCGACTGGTAACCAGATATGAGGGATGTAATGTTAAGCTTAGCTATAAAAAGGAAATTTGTGAAGTCTTCGTTGAAGTGGCTGGGGAGAGAGCTCAGAGATAAAGGTTTAAGGATGAGTATAGAGCGAGTTTTAAGCCTTCAAAGACATGAAACCCGGAGAATAAGAATGAATTGAGTAGCCTCCTGCAACTGTTAAACTACTGGAATATGTATATCCCAAGTAATGCCATTCTCTTAGTCTCTCAGCAGATTATTAAAAAAGAACGAGAGGTTCAACGGGATAATGAACAGAAGTTAGCATGAATGAAGGCATTAAAAGTATTGGAGAGCTGAGTTTGTGTGGAACAAGTCAAAGCGAATCATGAGTTAACTTTGCGGACTGATGCAAGCGATGTCCGAATGGGGGAAGTCCTATAAGTTATGGTGGAAGGACGCATTACGTTTTGCCTTCGTTAGCCCAAAATTCAATAACATGCAGAATTACGGCACCTCTTATCGGAAGCGTAAGTGGTAGTCTGGTGCGCTAATAAATTAATGGACTTTATTAAAACGAGTGGAAAAATACTAGTAGTCGAATTAGACCATAAAGGTTTATTAGGGTTATTTAAAAATGACTGTGAGAATGATTTGGTGAGAGGGCGAACGTATCAATAGAGAGAAGCAGATCACTAATTCGTTTACCTGCACCCTACGTTATCTTCCTGGCTCTGAAAATGAAATAGCAGACGTGTTGTCTGACGGACAATCTGATGGCCTAAGGTACCAAAAATGTTGGGGCCTCCGTCACCTGTGAAAATATAAGCATGAACTAAATTCGCAAAATTCTCCGAAATTTTCTTTTATGTCTAACCTCAAGAAAGAACCCATGTGTGTAATAGACCTAAGCTACCATTATACAGTTTGTCTATGGACATAATGAAGCCATTAAAGACAAACCGGTTATGACAGTGCGTTGGCCCTTGTTGACAGAAACCTTCGTTATGTTTGGTTATCGTCAGGAGAGGTAATAGATTTACTAGAGAATATTTGTAGAATGCAAAAACCCGCGGAAGTCAAAATTGGGAATTTTCCAGGAGTTTCTTTGCTTCTGGAAACTTTCAGCTGGGATGGTGGTAGTTACTAGTTGTCTGGTGCGTTTTATTAAAAGAGGATAACTTACCCCGACTATTTATCGGTCGACTTACGTGACAACTTACCAGCGTCATTAATGTTACTGTCCGTTTTTGCGGAATTGCTCTTCTATTATATTTATTGTTAGTCTTCGCTGGCCCAGTGTAAGCTTTCGTAGGGTGGGAGGTGGACGCGATTTTGTCCAGTTTTTTCTAGATAGGTTTAATTTTGTTCTTAATTTCACTCCTAACAGTCTCTTAAATGAGTTTAGAGACAGACTCCTTGTTATTAAATAACTCCATGTTTATTGTCTCTATGGGCTATTTAGGAGTAAGAACATTACCCAGTTCAGCCTTTGTTAGTACTGAAATGAAGAATTAATGCAGAAGATAAGTATCTAGCACCATGTAGCAACTATAGACCGACAACAAAGTGATGGGCTAGAGGAACGTGCTATACAAACTATAAAAAAGGTTTTAAGAAAAAGATGCTTCGAAGAAAACGTTGATTAAGATGAAATACTCGTTGAATACAATTGTCACAACAGGTTGCCCAATGTCATGGGTGCGTCTCCTATATTCATGCTTTTTAAAATCCCAGTCGATTGCTCTAGCTTTTTTTCTTTACACAATAGTCTAAGATGAATAGTTTTTATACTATAGTCAATTCTGGTTTATAAGTTAAATTAACTTTTTAGCTTAAGGATTATAAATTTTTTTGGCGGTGTACCTTAAAAGCTACTCTTTTGACGTCGCTTATAGCATTAAATTTATAATATGTACGAATATATTTAACCTTTTTGTTAATAAAATTTTATATTTTATAGAGTTTAACAAGTTCTAGGTAATACATTTGATAAAAAAATTTATAAATTTGTATATTGTTATACGACTCTTAACTTTCAGCTTGAATTTTTTTATAATCTTTTTTTAGATGTGTTGCCGCCACAGATGTCATCAGAATAATTTACAAAGCGGTTTACTTTTTTGTCTGGAACGCACAATCCACTCGTAAAGAGAATTTTATCTTTGTAAAAAGCACGCGAGCAACAAGAAAAGTATTTGTCAAGTGTTAATTTCCTAAATGTATATAATAATTTGTAAACTGATAAAATAGTTTATAGTTATGTTACAATTTTCTAAAGTCAAACTTTTTCCCAAAAGCGTTAATATTGATGTCCGTTATTAAATTCTCTCTTAAATCCCTATTTCCAATGTTTTATAATAAAAGATTGAAGCACAAAATTTATAGGCTTATTTTAAATAAAAATTCCAATTGAAAAAACCCAAGACACTAAATATTATACAAACAATATAAATAACTTACAAAGAAGTTATTGCACTTAATTTTATAAAAGAATTTTCTGCGACTGAAACTATATTATTTCTTATAAGTGTTCTGTGTAAAGTTATTATAATATTGTGGGCTTCACGTATGCTTGTTACAAATATATTTCCAAAATTTTAATTAAGACTATTTACTAAAGAAGTTCGGCGAGAAAGAATACTAGAGTTTCTAAGTAACGTTGAGGATAACTTACAACTCTTTTAAATTGGGTAATCCTTTAGAAAAGTTGCTTACAATGTAAAGTAAGTTGTTGTTACTCAAGCCTCTATAAAAAAAAAGTTAAAACTCTTTTTGTTTATATATAAACTGATCGACAAGAGAAGCTCTTCCTTCTGTTTTACTTTACACTTAACTTACAGGTAAGTTAAAGCTTTCAAATCTATAAATGAATTTTCCGAAATGAACTCAATGTTATTATGTTGAAGGTACCTAACGAAAATAAATAGCGGTGTGCAATACTCTAAGTGGAAAAAAACATTATTTTTATTTTTTAAGCTACACTTCCGACTTCCCAAAGTAAATTGGAGTATTCAATATATAATGACCAGCATCTTACAGGCATCTTAGCTGATATAGCCCTTTAAAGAAGGTCTCGTCAATAAAAGTAAGTAGATTGCTACTGAGTCCTCTAGATAGTAAACAAGTATAAAAGTCAAAAGAACGGCTTCATTTTTTGTTAAATTAATATTAAAGAATGTAAGTAAAGAATTCTAACTTTTTTTCAAGAGTTAACCTTAGAGTTTGAAGTGTTTAAGCAACGAAAATGCGCTTAAAAAAAACATCTTGCCTATTTTAGAATTCACTACTCACTTTGGTGCACTAGTCAGCTAAATTATTTTTTTTACTAAAGCCAACTAAAAGTATTTAAACTTAAAATTCTAAATAATTTTATTTAAAAAAAAAAAGCTACAAAAATTTACTTAAACTCACAGGTACATACAAGTAAGTCAAATCTCCAAGTCTTTGGAAGGATCTCGGCTCTATTGAATAGATGGAATTGAAGTCAAGTCTCCTAATAAAATAAATATTTAAAATTAGGTATATATAATAAATATTATTAAATAAATAGCAAGGATTATAGATCAAAGTTTGAGCTTACAAAGTTTTTAATTTCGCAAATTTTTTCAAGAGTTTTTTCTCGATTTTGGTAAGATGGTTTGCAGATAAACCTCTATAATAGGTTTAATTGTAAATATACATGAATTAAAGTAATCCATATCTTAATTTAATTAGCTTTGCTTGCAGAAAGAAAAATATAATTTTTATTTTAATAAAATTTCAATAAACTATTTATATTTGTTGCTTCTTTCTTTAATTAACAGGTTTTATATGAGTTCATGTGCAAAATGTTCATAAGCCAAATAAATGTTTTACTTACAAGTAAGTCAAATGCGAAAGTTCTGAAAATGCAGTTCGATTAAAGGACTCAAGCTTATTACTTGAGAGAGACCTCAAGTATAACTATTAGTACCAGCAAGCAACATGAAAACTAATATAGTACAAAAAAATAGTTTATTTGTCAATTAATTGAATTTTATTTTTCAATAAAAATTTAGCTTTCTATTAAGATTATTAATTTATTAAACTTTGACAATATTTACGTTCTCTCACTTTCTGGTTATAATATCTTGTTAAGTTATAGACCTACAAATGTTTCAAATTCACTAGATCTTTAAAGGAGTCAGCGTCCACATCGGTAATGCGGTTCCCTTCTAACCAGCTTAAGAATGATTTAATATAAGTAGTAAGTATTGTTAAATTATAACTGCACTGTTTAATAAACTTTTATTATAAAATTAGTTACAGTTTATATTTAAAACGGTATGATTTTTTAAATGCGTTATAGCTTAAAGCTTACAGTACTTCCAGGTTAGAAAGACCTCTTAACAGGCCACTATGAATTGAGCAAAGTTGATTGTTATTAAGCCATCTTGAGTACGAGATGTTACGTAAAAAACAGTTATTACCAATCTGTTACAAGTTATTACATGACTTACAGTATAGCCAAATTAGTAAGTGCTAAGAATGCGCCTGCTTCTATACATATAATTTTATTGTTGTCAAGGTACCTATTGTTGATGTGTTAAAACTATAAATTTTAGTAAAACTATAACTGTTTTAAAAGAAAAATAAAAGCTATTATTTTAAAGTTACAGTTTGATAATAATTAAGGGCGGCAGTAAAAACAGAATTATAGTAGGTTAAGAAAAAGATCGCACTTAAGTAAACTTTTAACTTTAAAATTTCTCACAATTTAACTTACAATTCAGTCAATAAAGTAAATTTCTTAAAAGAGGACACATCGACAGAATTAAGATTGTTCTTAGAAAGTTTTCTGCTCACAATGGAATATTACAATTTCATAAAAAATTTTAAGAAAATAGCTCACAAAGTTATAGCTGTGATGGTAATAGCATCAGGTAAAAGGGTGTCGGACAGTGAACATGCTGTCAAATCTCTATATCGTTTGTAAATTACAGTTTTTAGAACATTTACAATTGATAAATAAAACTATTTTAATTTTACGTCAATTTCAAAAAATATTGTTAACAAGATTTAACTAAAAATTAAAAATAATTATAAACCCACGAGATGTCAAAATTGTGTAATATATATGTCTAGGGTCAGAAAACATAAAAAAAATATAAAGATTCAATATATTGTTTTAAAAGTGTTGTCAATCGAAATTACTAAGTCTCTAAAGTTTAGTTTTCAGTGTTCACAATGACTAATACTAAATGATAAAAATATTTTCAAGATAAAATTTCAATCCCTAAGAAAACTTCGCCGATGCAAGTTATAAGTAATACTACAGTTAGATGATAGAAGTTAATTAGAAAAACAGAGTGTGCAATGATTTTATCTTTAGCTCTGCAGGCTTACAAGGCAGTAATGTTTATTAGTTCCCCACAATGGTGCTGGGAGGGCGTTCTTCCGGAAAGGCCAATTGTAAAATATAATCCTATAAAAAAGTACTTCATCCAGCTGATTTATTAAATTGTATGCAGCAGTATACCAAAATCAAAGAGGCTTTTCTTAATAAAAAAGTATAAATATATTATATTTAATTTGTTCATAAACTGTGGACATTTTGAAAGCAAAAGAATTTTATCGCTGAACTTTAAATATTTTGGATAGAAGTTTATCTAATAATACTAGAAGAAATTAAAACCGTATGATCAACCTGTTGCAGCCTTTAAAAACTAGTTAGACTATTTAGCTAAATTGAGCTCGAAAAGTTTCCGAATTGATTGGTTCATATATTAAGAAAACGAATACCATTAGGTCTCACTGAATCGAGTCTTTGTTTTAACTTAGAAACTTCTCAAATTTTTTAAATAACACATTATTTGTACCTTAAAAAGGTATTACAGGTGTGATAACTTAAATATTGAAAATTTGAAAATAATTGTAGTAAGGACTTTTGGTCTGTTTTCAATGTACGCTACGCTCTTTCTTGTATAGGTAAACCTGTCTGCTAGCCAGAAGATAAGGAAATTCTTTAAGCAAACTAAACATGCGCACAAGAAATAAATAAAAGAGTTTGTTAATACAAAAAGCTTCCTATACGTAAAAATAAACAATATTAAACGAATAGTTGGAGGAAATTATTAAGTGGTTTAGACCTTATAGCTCATTCGTTATTAAAATAACCACAAAACAGTGTTCCATGCCACATGTTGTTAAGTGTTAAGACAACAAAGGTGACTGAGGTAACTTTGTCAGGCCTCGTTCCGGTTAAAAAATACTAAATGAACCTACAAGCTCATTAGTGAACAATTATAACTAATCCAGTTCAACTATAATTTTTTGTTGCTCCTAGGGCCAACTCTTTAAAAAGCTTTGTCCATCATTGCGCTTTGTTGAAATTTACTTGGTGCGACCTCTCTTTGCAATCAAATACAATGGGCTTCTTGAATTTAATGCGCCGTTTGTGAACAGTCTTGTCGTCCATATAGAAGATTATTACGCGACTAAAAATATTTATAGGGGTTGTTTAATATGCACTAATCAAGTTTGGACCACCAAGGTTAAAGTTCTGTAGCGGTCGGGGGTCCTGTGGTGTTTTGTGTTCGTCCTCAAAGGTTGCCCAAACAATGAGCAGCTAGATCACGCCGTTATCAAGTGGCGGGTGGTGTGTGGCAACGTTTTTTTTAGTACGTTTTGATGAAACGTTAAAAAGATGGCCGTCCTTCTGTTTCGCCTCCCAGCAATTATTGTGAAAGGCTGCCAGCTCCTTTCTAATGTGTCGGTGAAGACAAACAAATTTTCCAATAAACCATGAGTTCTTAGCTTTACAATTCTATCTTTCAAGATGTTTGCATCATGCGCTAGTTATTACATTTTTAAAGCATTAAGTCTAGTACACATATAACACTTATTATTTGGTTTTAAATTGAACATCTTGAAATTTTGCTTATCAAAAATACACGCTAACAAAGGAAACACAAAAAGCTACTTAAAAAAAAAAGTTAAAAAAATACGCTACCGACTGAAATTAGTTAAATATGATTTTTATCACTTTAGTTGTAATAAGTATTAGTAGTTTGACATAATAATTATGATGTAGTTCCAAGTGTCCCTGACTTTTTAGTGAAATCGCCAAGGCGCTAGAGTCTAAGGCCGGATCAGTTTGTTTAAGGGCAATATATATGGGACCTGCCTAAAAACGAGATCAAGCGTAAAGATTTCGGCCATGCAACTTGCACTTTAAAGAAATCTTTTGAAGATAATAGTTTTAGCCGCTGTACTAAGATCCGACTTTAAAAAGGTTAGTTTAAATTCTTTGACCGTAAGCCTCTCGGCTTATTCTATTGAAAGTATGATTCCGGAAAAGCTAAAAAATCCACAGATTATCATTCGGACTTCCGGAGAATAACATATGAGTTATCTTTAAAAGCAACATACTTACGCAGAAAAATTATAATAGGTAATGTTTACATATTATACCCTAGTTAGGCAAGACAAGATATGGCAGCTTACTAACCGTCTGACCAAATTGATTAAACGGCCAAGAAGGTCTTAAACGCATCAACTTATAATAAAAAGTAAGGAAAGATGCAGTAAATGTGGCAAAGATGACCACTTTTACCGATTGTCATTTTCAAAAAAACGTTAAAAATAAATGCTTAAAAAGTTAAAATTGGGTTACAACCGAAAAAAATTGCTATAATACAGAACTGAAATCTCTTATTGTGGAAATATGGTCCTCTTAGAAAATAAAAAAATTAAAAATCTTTTGCAGTTCCCAATTTAGAAACTCAAACAGCTTTATACAACCTTGTACTACTAGAGAAACGCTGCCTTCTATCTTAGCAACTGGTAGCTTTCTAAATAACGATACCATACTTATTTCTGATGCTAGCTATCATGTGGTTTAAAAATTAAAGCCTGTTGATCATTTTAGAAGAATTGTTGAGTCAATATATGTATTGTCGGAGTTCTCAAGCGCAAGAGTAGAAAGGCCTTCAATAGGAAATAGGGCGCCTTTCGGTCAAGACGGTACATTGTGTAGTTACAGAGCACAAGCCGATCGTCCGCTTTTAAATGCATCTACTTGAAAACGCAACATTCACATCTTTACTCTGCAACAGCTGTAGCAATTCATCCTTTTTGCAGTCGACACCGTTGGCAGCTCACTGCAAGAGTTTCAGCTGACCGAATGAATGGGACCTAACCACCATTTGCAGTCGTCAGGTTGTTATTCGTTCGAAGGAATGTTTCAAGAGCAGTTGCGAGTGGGACCAGTATCCTGTCAACAAGATTTGGAACAAAAGATCTTTGTTGTTACGCGTACTGCGGTGCATGAGGTAATCGTCCCATCATGGCTGCAAAAGAGAACGTCGGCGTTACTGATTGCGTTGCCGTCGTTGACGTGTCGGAGGCAGAGAAACGATTTTCCGAGGATATCTAAACGCTCTAAGTAATTTCCAGTGTGGGCCTCTTCAATTAGCACATTTGACGGCAATTTTTAGGATTTCTCACGTTATCTTTAGATCTTTAGATGATACCCCACGCTTAACGCAGCTTGGAGTGATGATGCAGTTCTGTGCACATTGCTGAAGCACTGACAGCGCTGACACTACCCCATGCAGTTCACTCTTTCGAAGTGGGTTCATTCTTATTTGTAGATGAAATATTAATTTCAGGACGTGGAATGCAGGCCCCTCCTTCATCGGCAAGTGTACAAGAACAGTGGCAGTGACTGCTTAACGCGGTTCCTGCCGATTGGGCGGGTTGTAGAAGACGTGCAACGCATAAGGGTGAGCACGTAGCGCCGTTTCATTTCATTGTCGACTATAGTGTAGATCGGTGTAAAAACCTCGAAGAACGATCTTGTGGGGGTTGCCCTAGGGTAACTGATAGAAGTAGTGTTACCAAGAACACTCCCGTAGTAGATACTACTATTTTGCGGTAGTCCTCGGCAGATGATGGCAACAGGCGGAAGCCTTCACGGAGCTCGCGGGTGGAAGAACCTTTGCTCCCTGAACTTACAGGAATTTCATTGATGTAGGCCACATTTCTTGCCAATGAAAACGATAAGAGAGTTACTTTACGCATCGTTGGCTCTTCCGGGGCTGCACGTGTATTGGCTGTTTCTTAGAGGTTGTCTGTTACCATTCTATCCAATTCTGGTTGCGTATACTGTTGTTGTTCTAGTAATCGAAGTGTGAAGACAATTTTAAGTTATATCGTCCTAACTATTACAACTATCATTACTAATTTTCTTATTATTTTTATTATTAGTAATTAATATAACTATTAGTATTATTATGATTACTATTGAGACTGCTATTTTTTTTTATTTTTTAAGAGTTTGTTACTATGACCACTATTTTTCATAAAAAGATTATTATGAATACTGGTATCACTACCTGAGGCGGTTTATTGTACTGTGGAAGAAGGTTATTTATACTTCAGGGAGAGTAAAAGAATTTTACAAAATTTAAGACATAACGCAACCCAGGACGTAGCACATGCACTTGGTGCCCAATAGGCATCTGCGTGGTAGGAGCACGCGGAAAACTTCAACAGTACAAATTAATTAAACTACTTAACTAATCTCACAAATTATGCTTTGCAAAAAAGCGAGACACTAGTATGGGACGTAAACTTAGAGGATGGATATTTAATTTTCGTTTATTTTCTTTCAAATTAACATGTTTCTTATTGTAAATGGAGAACAAAACAGTAGCTTTATTAATTTTTAATATTATGTTATCAGTAAAGTCGCAGAATTATTTTTGATATTAAATGCAGTTACCTCATTTCTTATATAATTTTAAACTAAACCCTGTGGTTATCCTCTTTTTTTAAACTGTCCGATCTGTGATCTGAATTTTTAAATCTACTATACATTAACAAAGAGATGCAGTTTTGGCCACAGGATTTATCATAGTGTTACTAAACTTAAAAGGGTAATTACGTTTACTAAAAACTTAGCGTGGTTCCTGCTTAAAGACAGCGTATCCATTTATGAAAAAAAGAATCAAATAGAGATGCAATCATCGGTTCAGCTCATTGGCTTTGTTAAACTAAAATAGAAAGTTCGCATGGGAACCACATAGTGACTTTGGTAAACATAGTTTAAGTTTAAAGGCTTTTTAGAGTTTAAACTGCGCGAGTTAATTGTCTTGCTGTTTTGGTGGCACTGGCCACAAGAACATGAATCTATCGTTTTTTTATATATATTTGAATTTATTAATTCATTCAGTATTTCGCAATTTCTTACTTTTATGTGACCTTGCAGATTTTATATATCGAGTTTTAATAAATTTATTTGCCTCAAGGAGTTATAAACTTACACCCCCTAATCTTAGTGATAATTACAGCGAAATAACTATTAATAGCGGTTTTAATAATATTAATACTAACATCCCTGGGCCTAAGAAACCCTTACACCTAGGCATTATTATAAACGGTGAAACTGAATTTTATATTTTTCAAGTTTTGGAAGATTTATCTAACTTAATTCTATATGCTATTGTAGAAAGAATACATTACATTAGTATTTACGACAAACACGGTAAGGCCGTACAATTAAGAAAGGAATTGGAGTCCATAATATACCATAAATTAGATAATCTAAACATTAATTTTGTTAAGCTTTTTTTCTTTCCGAATTCTTTTTCTGAGCCCCCACTGAGTAAGATTGAGTCAAAAAACGGTAATACAAGAAAAGAATCATTTTTTTGTTATGGAGATGATCGAATTTATCCAATGCCTTTTAGAGTTTGCAAGGAGTTAGTTGGGGAAAAAATTTTTTTTTATAATATAGCCTTATTAGATTTAAAATTTTGTAAAGAAGATTTGGTTGGCGCCATACAAAAACTTTGCTTAAAAAAAACTTGTTTGGATGAAATAAATAGAAGTAGTATTGAGAAATTATTGTGGAGTAATAATATTCTTTTTATTTGTAATCTTAAATTTAATTTTATTTCTCACAATGTTCTAAAATAGGTTACAAGAAGTTTCCTGACCCGGAGCTTATTTTAGTGTTCGGATCGTGTTTAAGTTTAGCTGGCTATCTTCCGTGGCAAACTCGAGTTTCAGAAATTAAGTATTCTTTTAATAAGAAATTAGTGGTGTTGTTTTTTATAACATAGCAATTTTGTTTTGTAAATTTTTTTATCATTTTGAGATTGTTGTAATTTTCTTTTAGGTACTATCGCAAAATCGAATGGTTTCCTTACTACTATTTTAAAAGGGCTTTGACAGAGTATTCCAAGTGTGAGCAACGATTTGGAAGGTGATTCTTGCTAAAGCTACAAAGGCAGTAAGTTTATTTTAATTGACGAAATTAATGGTTTATAGCTTATTAAGTATTAAGCTTGAGTTTATAATTTTACCGTTGTAATATTAATAGTAGTATTTATAGGAATATTTTTTTTCCTATAAAACTAGAGTATATAATATATTTATAGTACCCTTTCATTTATATTTTATTGAATATTCTTTCAGGCTTTTACTTAGGTCTCCGGATTTCAACATTAAGACTTTCTTCTAAAGACTTATGAATTGACTGGTGAATTTCATTAACCTTAGTTAATGAGTTTATTATCAAGTTTATTTAAAATATTAATAATATTCAGCAAACTTCTATGATTGTTAAAGTTATTAAATAGCTTTATTTTTAATTTTATTTTATAGTATTATACATAAAAAGTTTTTTTATATAATGTATTTAGTTCTACGTTAGCTTTTAAAAATTGTTTAATTATGAATTAGATTGGGGAAAATAAAATATTAATAAAAAGTCTTGTTTTGACATAAAACTGCAATTAAAAATTTCGCTTGAAAAGCAATTTTTTTAGGATTTTTTAAAAAAGTAGTCGTGTTAACCTTATAGTTACACTGCTGCATAAACATAATTATAGCAAGTAGAGAAAGCACTTTATTGCTCCAGAATGTTATAATACGCAAAACTTTAGGAAAAACGTTACATTAACGCTAAGTGCACCACGTAAGACACTTAAAAAATTATTTCGGGGTGTTTATGAAATGCACACGGCGTGATGGTGTATATAACACCTGAAGTGAGACTAGGTAGTTACACTAAATGCCTGTTCTTAAAGCAGCTCAACTAAATAGGGTAAGGCACGCGAAAGGTGATCCAGTATCCTTAAACGCTTGAGGGATTCGGGGAACAGAAAAGCAGAAACCACGTGGAAGGACATTCGAAGTGCAATGAGACTAACTAAGGTCTTGAAAAAACCGCGATTAGCAATTATAGTTTAGAGTATTTAGTAAACTTTTTAAAGTTAAACTTCACCGGGATAATGTTAACTATACAAAGCGTTTAAACAAAAATTTATTATCCAATAACATTTAAAAACTTTTAAAAACGGTTTTCCTATGCTCGTATAACGTTTATAATATAATAAATAAAACAAGAAATTTAATACTTTCTCTAAAAAGTATGTACTCAGTATCTTAATAAATTATAAGTTCATTATAGCATTACTAATGCTGCAGTTATAAACAATTATTTATATATTACTATTATTAAATTATATTTTTATTAATCTGCTTAAGATGAATGTGTCAAAACATATATTATAATAATAAAAATATATTAATCTATCATTTATAGAATTTTTTTATTAGTAATAGTAACATTAATTATTTACAAATAATAAACCAAAAATAAATAATCGTTTTAAAGTAGAAATAATAAGTAAATTATATATATTACTTCTTTATGCGTTAAAGTTCTTTCCCAGCTCCGATAAGTAATTCTGAAGGTTCTTATTAAATAATAGAAAAACGTGAAAAATTGTAATAAGTAAACAAAAAAATTTTGATTATCTACTTTTTTAAACTGTACAGCGGTAAATATTGTACAAAGTTACAGGAAAGGAAGGCTTTTCATGTTGCCAATAAATTAATTAAAAGAAAGGTTGTCAAATTTATGCAATCACGATATATATTACTATACTTTACGCAGACCTTTATAATCGGGTGCTAATTAATAAGCAGTTTTGGTAGCCAATAATATTAGCGACCCAAAATTTAGTAATTGCACTACACTTTAAACTTAAATTGTCGATTTATTTAACGTAAGGCGCTAGTTAAAACACACACATCATATTGATGTGTTTCACTTGACGAGGTTTTAATAACATTGCCCGCACAAAACACCTATAAATTTTTTAAACTGGGAATTTTAAGGATTTAAGAATACTTCCAATTTTGTTGGGACCTACCCACAAACTAAAAAAAAAAATGAAAATATTATACTTCTTGGAGTTTGGTATATCCGTTTAGCGCCAGAAAAAATAGCTCAATAAACTTAGAGATAAAAGGTAAAAAAGGGGTATAATAAAAATGCAAGAAGCAGTAATGCACAGTATGCTCAAAAACACTTATATAATGAAAACATAAACTAAAAGAAAAAAAAAGTAATTAGAGGCACTTGCTCTTCCTTCCACTCTTTGGATCCGTAAACTCATCAATCTTATAAAGTATATTATTTTTATTAACGCTTACTTAATATTATGTTTATTGTGTATACCTGTTGAACAAACTCTACCAAGTCTCCCGCGCAAAAACGGACTAAGTCATATAGTTCACTTTCAGAAAATTCTATAATTTTAGTTTTAGCAAAACAAAAAAAAGAAAAGTGTTGTTGATGATATAAATAAATAAATAAATAAATAATAAAAACCATTTAGAATCCACATAGACACATCTTTATAACAAGGATTTTGAAAACTAAAAGGTTTAAATTTAATATTCCTCCAGTCTTTAGTCTGCAAATTATATAAATATATATTCAACCATTTAAAGGAAAATTATAATAGTAATTATAGTAGTAGCTATAGTGGTATAAAATAAAACTGTTCTAAATAATCGACTTGAAACTGAGAAAGAAAGCGGTTGTCTTTCGACCAAAATAGGCGTATATCGGGAATATCAAATAATATCTATAATATACATTGTAGTCCAATTATAAGTTAATAAAAAAATATTAATATAAATACAATTCATAGACTAAAAAATATAAAAAAAAACGACCATAGCTAAACGTTCAAGCCCGATGCCGAAGGCCCAGCCCACACGGTTAACGGCGCCTTTAAGAAAAATATAATAGAGTAAATATTAGTGACAATGAGTATAACGCTATAATAACGAGGAAAAAAATTAAATGTTATATTAACTATGAACGAGAAATACTTTGATACTAATAATAATCAGTAACAAAGCAAAATAATTTTTAATTAGTAAAATAATAAGTATAAAAGGCTACTACTTACCTGCATTTTTTAGTATCTTTTGCTCTATTATACCGCAACCCAGAACTTCTAGCCATTCCCCTTTATATTCAATTTCGAGTTCAAAACTTGGATGAGTAAAAGGAAAAAAGGAAGACGTCCTTTATAAAAAAATATATACTCATATAATATATAAACTGACTACTTGTTTCTATTAGAAAGTACCAGCGAAGTGCCACATCGCCCAAAATATCGCTCATAACAAACCCCAATTCTAAAAAAAAATATACAATATTCTTTAAAACCTTATAATTAATATATATATATAAATTAAAAATAAATTTCACTAAACTATTTTTTAAATCAAGCACCAAAGCATCTCTCAATTCTTTGCTGTGCTCAGCTTGTAGATCACTGGTCCTTGCTTTGGTTAATGAAATTTTAAAAATAAGAAAGTTTTAGTTTACTAGTCACTACATTTGTTTTCAGTAAAGCAAGCATCCTGTTGAAGTTTTAAAGAGGTTATCAACTGTTCTTTGCTAAATAATTTAACGCCTTCCAATTGATAAAAGACGGGATAATGACTATACTTATAAAACATTAAACTTTCTCTTTTTAGTTAAACTTCCTATTTAACCTGGAATTAATTTCATCTCGACGAAAAACAGGTCCTAGGAATTACTAAATTACAAAAAAATTATTTTAATAGGTAAAATATTTGACCTGATACTATAAACTGTTCCTTCTTATCTTTTAATAATTTAAATTGATGTGCGCTCGTGTGTGTTCGCAAACATAAATTCTCAGTAATATAATAAGTATCGGACTTCGATCGAGAAGGATGCTCTTTTATTTTAAGTCTTAATATAGATTGTATTAAATACTATATAAAAAAATCGCCTTTTGAAAATAGCAGTTGATCAAAGTTATCTTCAACTGTAACAACGGGATCCAGGTCTTTATAAACCTCAAAGCTTAAACCTAAACTTTCAAAAGACTTCTCAAGGCCTTCTCGTATTAAAGTAAGAGGATGAAAAGGTTTTAAATGCAAGTTTTCTTCAATTTTTTGATATAATATTTTGCTTATCTATATAAAATTACGTTAAAGGTTAAGGAATACAGGAAAGTAAATTTTAATTACATTTGAATTTTTCAATTTATCTAATAGTAAAGGCTGTGCAAGGGTTTTTGAGGTATATAAGTTATAAAAAGACAGTAGTAAATAGTTTTTTTTCCTTGTAAATGTTTCAATATATATAGGAAAGAAAGAACATTTGTTTATCATAATTTTAAAGCTAACCCTAAAATATAATTTAAATAAACTTCTTATATATAACGCGTCAGTGGGCTGTAGAAACAACAAAAAAGAACCAGAAACTCAATTAAGGTAAGTTAATTAAAAAAAATACTCAAAAGTCTTAGGAAACAAAATTTCCTGTATTTATAGCGGACGGGCTTCTTTGTAGTAGCCATGCGTACGGCCCCTTGACTCGTCAGTATTACAGTCTTAGTAGTCGCTCCCATTGTTCTTTAAATTACTGCATGTACTTATTATTCTGTTGTTATGACGGAATACTCTAAAAGAAGCCTCGATGAACTTTCGCAAGATGTTGTTCTTCATACTAAGAGATCTAAAAATGACTTGAATGCTTATGGCTCCTCTGAGGTTCTATATTAAACATTAGTATACTATAAGGGAACAGTGCTTTGCATATAATAAGTTAGCCTTGTTTGCTAAAACTTTAGTGTAGAATTGTTCATTAAATTATTTAAATTTATTTATAGCTTAGAAGTAATATTCTACTATTTTCCGATTTATTTGTAATAACTTCGTGCTAATCCCTATTATGCGAATAAGGTTGAGTTTTCCTTATCATCCCCTATAATGCTTCTCTCCGGTCATCAGGTTTTATTAATATATTTTGAACAATTGTGAACTATAACGATTAGTTTGGTGTTTAGAAGCTATTTTATTTTATATTTTTTAATTCTAAAATAAACCTTTTAATTTTATATTATTGACATTTTATTCAAGCTTAAATAAACTTTTTCTTGTGAAAACTATTTTTTGCCTTTTTAATCTTATCTTTGTTTTTAACAAAAAATATCTTTAAGTCGTTAAAAAATTTAAAGCAGAATTATTCATATTTATTTTTTATTTATGTAAAACTAAGGAACTTTTTTTATGAAGAAAAATTTTTAAAATTCCAGTTCTTTTACTTTTGTTTTAAATTGTAAATAATGTTTTGTTAAAATTTGTTTACAACGCGACTCGAATTATTTTATTGTATATATAGATTTTTATATATGTTTAAATTTTTTCTATAAGTTTTATAAACTGTTAATATATGTATTTATTAGCCTCATATTGTAGACTAGCTTTATCTTTTATTTTTTTAGTTTATTATAAAGAACTTTTAAAAATTTACTTGCACTACAGGAAAAAAAAATTTATAATTTATTAATATATATTTTCTAATATAATTCTTTTATGTTGTTAGTCGTGTACTCTTTTTAATTGTTATGTTTTTCTTTGAAAATTAGTTTTATTATAAATTTTCAAACATTGTTATTTTTGAATATTTTTATTAGCTTGTAACTCCTTTAATGTTAATTAATTAAGTTAATATTTTAAGTTTAAAGCTTTTGTTATTACGGTATTGATTTGTTTTCTTCTTTTGTTTATCTGCTTTATATATAAAGTTTTTGTTTCTATTTTTTTATAATTAGAATGAAGTATTTACCTGCAAGTTTAGCCCAGACGGTTTTAGCGTCGCTTCTGCTGGCGTCGATAAACAAATTTGTTAATAAACTATTAATATTATTTTACTACATATATTAAACATCCTTGTCTCTTGTTTATAATATTATTAATAATCACTCTATAATTGTTTATTATTATTTGTATGTATTATGTTATCGTATTTTTTTTACCTCTTATAGTTATTAATCATTTATTTCTTATATTTAATTATTAAGATTTCTGTTATTACTATTCCCTATTATTTGTATATTCATTTTCTATTATTTTTCCTTGATACTGTTTATATAACTATACATATTTTTATATACTTTTATTAATGTTAATTTATATTTTGTATAGTTTTATGGAGAACTTACGGGGAATGTGAAAACTATTATGCACTTTCTGGCCATCAAGGTCTTTCTGTTTATGATATACGTAAAAAACAACTTTCCCCACATCCGTTATTTTTTTTTTTAATTTATAGGCCCAATTATGGAACTTCATTGGACTAACGACGGAAAGTTTGTTTTTCTTATTTATTAAAAACCATTACGACATAATTGATAATATTTATAAAAGTTTTATTGTTTCCGCTTCTGTTGATAAAATTGTTTCCGTCTGGGATGCTCATACCGGAATTCTATTAAAGAAATTGAGAGTATAGAGCTTTTTGTATTTTATTTCAAAATATTTTATTAAATTTTTGATACCTTTTGTATATTGTTTATTATCAAGTAATTTCTATTAAATTTATGATTTTTTTCATTTTATAAATTAAAGTTTTTTTGCCTTACTAAGTTTTATAGTTGTAACAGAGAAGGTTAAGTTTCTTGTTATTATTAATTATATAATATTATACCATATATTAATTATTTATTGATTGTTTATGTATTATTATATTCAAATTTTTAATTTTAAATATTGGGTGCTTTCTAAATTTAACTTTATATTATTGATTGTTAATAACGCTAATATTTTATTTAAAGTCTATTTTTTTATTAAATAATAATTTATTATAACGCATGTTAAGTTTTGTGATATTATTTAGTTTATTTGTTTAAGATGTATACATTTAATCATTTAAAAAGTTTTTAAACATAATTTTTCAAGGTTATTAATAATATTTAATTTTTTAATATAATATATTTAAAAGCTTTTAATACTAATAGTATATCGTACTTTCATTATTATTATTCATATAAGTTTTTTTAATTTAATACTTTTTATTGCATTTAATTTTTTATAATATTTTTGTAATTTTTTTGTATAGGGAAACTACTCGTTTGTTAATAGTTGCTGCCCTTCTTCTTCCGGAAACTTAATAATTAGCGGTGGCGATGATTCGTCCATTAAAGTATTCATTATTTATCATATTACCATTAATGAAAGTTTGCTAAGTTTGTGATTTTCGCAATATATTATTATGGCTATTATAAAATTTTCTGGTATTACGTCCAGTATTATTAAGTAATTGTACTGATTATATAAGTTAATGAAATTCTACTGCAATAATCATTGAAATTTTTGTTATTATTATATTTATGCACTTATTAGATAATTTATTAATAGGTTATTAACTTTATAATTATACTTATCAAATATAATTTATTAAGATCTTTAAATGTTGTATAATTCTAAAAATAGATAATGTATTATGTAGATAAAATTTGTTTAATTGTGATAATAATAAAAAAGTTGAGTTTATTATACTATTTATATACTTTTGATATACATCTACGTAGTTATAATGTTTATGTTATAACTTAATTGTAGTTTATTAGGAAGCTGTTGTGATCTTTATTATTAGACTTGCTAAAGCATCTTTCATTATTATATAAAATAAACTTATCTAATGTTTTATGTGATAACTTTAATGCAGTTTATAAGAAACTTACCATTATTACATCAAAAATTTTTATAACTATTTTGCTAATATTATCATTGTACAATACTGATATATCCTGCCATGGTAAATATAATTATAATTAATATTATTTATACTACTAAATTATTATGTTGTTCATTTTGATAAATATATTAGCAAGCTTATAAATTATTATTACGTCTTTTTATAGTTATATTTAATATTGATAATAGAAAGAAAGTAATATCACTTATGCTACTAAATGTTATTATTTTTTTCATGTTGGTAAGTTTATTAGCAAGCTTGTAAATTATTACTACTTTTAATATTATAATATTTAAAATTTATGATAGGAAGAAAGTATATTATTATATTTCAATTTTTTACTTATATATTTTATTCATAAATACAAGTAACCAGCAAAACCACTATTTTTATTAGCTGTGGGATAGAAGGTCCGGCAAACGGCCTCTTACGAGTTTAGACGCCAAGTATCCAGTGACCTCTGTGTGTTTTGGAAAAGATGAGGAGACTATCTTTACTGGAGGAATCGATAACGATATTTACGTAAATAAAAATAATTATATTTACTTTATTACTATAAAAGTATAAGTATTTTTTATATAAAACTCAACCTTAATCTAATTACAGGTTATTATAATGAAATAATGCATTATTTTATATTACAGAAAAATGAATGCGAATTCATAATTTTGAACTTTTTCTTTTCTTCTTGTAATATTGTTATACAAGACATTTACTATATTTTATTTAAGCGAGATTAGATTAAATTTTACAATGACTTTTTTTGATTTGGTTTAATTGTTTATATTCTTTCATATAAGTCGTGGGATTTGAGAAAAAATGAGATTTACTATAAAATGATTGGTCACAAAGATTCCAGTAAGTAATTTATGAATAACACTTATAGTGATAATGCTTAAAATACTGTAGTTACTGGGCTTGCCATTAGTCCGAACGGTTCTTATTTACTTTCCAATGGAATGGACAATTCTGGTTTTTTTTTATTTTTATTTAATAATAGAAGTTATTATTGTATTTATCTTTTTAATTCTGTAATTGCTTGGACACTTGAACTTATAAATAAAACTTTAGGAATTTAAGTATTATAAACTTTTTTTTTGGCTCTAGCGTATATATTGTACTAACTTTATATTGGTATTCATTTTTATTGTTATATTAAATGTTGGTTTTATTCTATAAAAAAAACTTTTTACTTATCTTGTTTTGCATATAAAGTTAATATTTTTTTAAATTGGTTTTTTTTTATATACGTTAATGGAGGTTTATAATGCTATTTTTTACTATTATTGTTTTATAACAGTTTATACTGCTGGTATGCAGACTAACGAAGCCTGTTTGTTTATTAGTTACCATATAATATTGTGGTCATATTCTAATAATATATTAGAGATATTGCAAGCTGACTGGGTTAAGTTTAATTAATGTCAATGCTGTTATTTCTTTTTATAATTCATTATTTAAATTTTACGTGGTTTCAATTATTCTGTTATTTTTCAGTTTATATTATGTTAAATTATGAAATTAATTATTTTTATTTCTAATAGATAACTTTTTATTTTATTAATAACTAAATCTATCAATTTATTAATGTATAGTTCGTATGTGGGACGTCCGTGCTTTTAAACTGGGAAGCAGAATGATGCGTGTATTTATAGGTCCAATATTTTTATCACAATCGTTTATAAATTACGTATTCATTATTATTCTCACACAGGCGCTCAGCATAACTTTGAGAAAAACTTACTGCGTTGCAGTTGGTCACCCAATGGAAAATACGTACATATAATATCTAATAATTTTAATAATACTTATAATATATAAATGATGATAAGTATATAAAAGAACTTCACTAAGATATATAAAAAAATAAAATGAAGGTAAGCGCTGGTTCTGCGGATCGGATGGTTTTTATATGGAACAGTCAAACGTGCAAACCAATATATAAACTTCCTGGTAGTGTATTATAATTGTTAGTCATATATATTATTGCAATGCCTTTTAGGACACGCGGGGAGTGTAAATGAAGTTCATTTTCATCCTTCAGCACCTATCAGTACTTATTTTTTGCTATTAATATAATTATTATGTCAGATATTTTTGTTAGTTGTGTCCGGATCCAGTGATAAACGACTTTATCTTGGCGAGCTGGAGCTTTAGACAAATTGTATAGTAAACACCAAAATAATAATAATAGTAATAATAATAATAATAATAAAGTTTGCTTTATTTTTCCTCAGCAGGCTTTCTACTTACGAAAAACACGCAATCATAAACGACGTTGTACATGGACAAGTAGTTAAAAGTATACGGCGCCTTCACTCCAATTTTTTCTTTCTGTATAAAAAAAAATACAGTAAGAAATAGAATATAGAGACTTAAATATAAGTGTGCATTATAATAAAATTGCCTCAAGAATAAATCCAATGCTTTCCATGATTGCCCTAATATCCTCGTAACTGAATTCCAACGACGGATCGCTCATATCTTCAAAATGATATAAAAGTGGCCCTTACAAAAATATTATTACAGAAATAATCAATAAATAGAATAATACAGAATGTGGTGATATAATGCAAAAAATAATACTAATTAATTTCATAAACTGCATTAATAAAATACGGTGTAAGTGATAAAACTGGAGTTTAAGAAGAAATGACAATTTTATTGTGCGCGGCCTTTAGTACCGCTCTCAGTCCATTAAGAAAAAGGACGAAAATATAAACTGTTTAAAGAATATAACAAAAACAAATGCATATATAAAGGGCATGCTTAACAAAACACGAGCTTTATAGAGTAATCTAAGCATCTCAAAGGGAAAATATGGTTTGTTATTTAAAAGTAAGAGTGCAGGAAAATGGGAACTAAAATAAAAGTGTAATTTTAATTAAAGTTTGCTTTTGTAAAACAACAATGATTATTTCTTTAATATAATAATTTAGCATATTTAAAAATTAAAAAAGGTTTAAAATAAATTAAAAAGGTTAAAAAGGAGAAGTACAGTATAAAAATATAAATTTTAAAAGTTGACATACATAACAAAGCTATAAATAGTACCACAAAAAAAGATTTTCTAATTAATAATCATAAAAAGTGCTTTTGAAAGCTATAATCAGAATAAGTTGCCGAGCATAAGTATAAAGACATAATATCTTATTAATAAGCAGGGCTTATGATCCAGAAATATAAAAAAAGTATATTAAAAATTCAAGCTATAAAACTACCGATATTAATGAAAAGCCCTCCTGGCTTTAAAATATAATAAATAGTCCTCAAGTAGTCAACAACATTCTTTGCCGTGTCTAGAAAGAAGCACGATGCTACACAATCCCAGCTCTCTATTTGTTTAAAAAGTTTACATAGTATCGAACAGTGACCTTAAAAAGTAGAATAGCTAGTTAGCATGAAAATATTTTAGATCAAAAGATAATGTAATAGACTCATTAGTAGAGTTGTTGATCGGTAATCATACCACTCATTAACTAATTATTTCTCAGTATGGCTCATTATATGTTTAATTATTGATTGGCCGTACGTTTAACTGTAAATATAACTATTCGCTAATTATGACCTCGCTGTGTTAGTTAATTACGAACCCTCTAATTCAAAAAATATTTAGTAGCTAATTAGCTTGCTAGTTAATAATAACTGCCAACCTATAATTTATTATAGATGTGTGTAAACACGTTAACATTAATTTTTGATGATCGAAAAATTCCTATCGAATGTATGCACTGAATACCAAGCTCGCTGCCCCTTTGAAGGATATAATTGTCAATTATGCGGTGCTATAGGTTGTTCGAAATTGATTGGCTGGCTGGATTAATTAACCAATAAAAAAATTTAAGCAACTACCAGTCTTTTAATTGGTTATTAGCCTTTTTAATACCCAAAAGTTAAGAGCATTGTTTGATAACGTTATAATAAGTTTTTATATAATGCTTATGGGTTTCAAACCTGCTTCAGTATAGCACTCCAAGAATTCGCCGGCAGTCATGGACATCTTTCCGTTTCCCTTTAATTCTTTGTTAATATTGACATCAGGAACAAGAACAGAGCGGTACTAAGAAGTTTATAATAACCAAGTAGGAAAGAATATAATAATAGTTATAATATGTTTTAAAAAATTTCATAAAAATGGTAATACTTAATAAGATAGCAAAAACATACTAAAGTTATGTATATTTTTTTAAAATAATATTAGTGTCATAATTTAGTAATTATCATAATGCAATAATTATAGATAAAACTGATACAAGACAAATCAGTCACTAATAGTGATAGTAATAGCACTTATTAAAAAGTTTACTATACGGCACTAACTATAATAAATAGTTGATAAATGCAAACAAAAATATTATCAAGTATAAAATGTGTAATAAAGTAAACTTGTAATAATTCAAAATATATAAATGTTTTAACAAAAATAAACAAGAGATGAGCTCTTTATACCTATATATATATATATATTTATATAGGGAAACTAATAAATATTATAAAAAGAAATATGAAAGTTTTTTAATTTTTCCATAAACAAACTTGACACATACTACTTAAATATTATAAATATTCTATTTAGGCTCTTCTATTGATGGGTTCTTACTTATATTTTGTTGGAGTTAAATAAATATGTTGTACACAACATGGTGTTTTGATTTTATCACTTGATATTAATAATATACAAAAATGTGTAATAGCAAAACCTACATTAAATCTAATAAAAAAGTTAAAATAGAACATCGATACAAGTTTTTATAAAAGTAAACAATATTATTTGCACAATGAAAACCTAAAAATATACAAACTTTAAATAACAGAAATATAATATCCATATTTATAATAAATATGAAAAATATGAATTTGGACTTACTTGATCGCTTCTTCCTATATTATTATTATACTGACTAACGAAAGGATGAATAACAAACTTTCTATCTCCAGATCTATATTATATATAATAAATTGTTAGTAGTAATAGAATATAAATAAAAAAAATATTAATGAAAATAATTGTTACTTCTAAAAATAATCAAAGTTATTTAAAAAAATCAAATATTTCAACTTATATTATTAAAAACAAAATAATATTGTTCGCAATACCTTCATCTCACTTTCAAACTAAAAATAAGAGCAAAAGTGAATAACAATTATAATATGATTAACTTATCAATGCAACATATTAACAAAACGTAATAAAAAAAAGTGAGGGAAAAAAATTAATTAAGAAAAGGATTTTAGTAGATATTAATTGTAGACGGCAAATCATTAATCAACACTTCAACGTTATTATTTAATTCCTTCATAATTTAAAGCAATAAGTATCATTTTTTAATATAATTGCCACATTAGTACATTACAAAACATAGTATAAGGGTATATAAACTTTTATATAAGGTAAATTATAAAGTTTTTGTCATATTTAATGAAGTAAATTTAGATTAAATTTTTATAACTGTTAGTTGTGAGAAATAATTAAGGGTTCACTATATATCGCTTTTTACTTTTCATAAAATTGGCGAAAAACTTATATATATAAAATGTAAACCGGTTTAATATGAAGTTGGAGGCAAGAAGCATAAATACAGAATACTCGTTCCCTTGAACGTTATAACCTTCAGGAAAAAAAATACACAGAAAATAAAACTAATATATATAAGTGTAAGAATTAAATAGTAAACTTTATTTAAATAATAATTCAATATGCATATACATGTGTATTACTGAAATAATATATACTTCAATATATAACGATATAATATAATACGAACACAATTTAAAAAAATTGATGACTGAATTTATAATCTACAACATTAAATATAGATATAAGTATTAACTTACCTCTTCGAGCTAATTCATAAACTAAACGGCCCAATCCAGCGCCAGGAACTAAAATAGAGACCTCAGTACCAGCGCTTTAGTAAAACGATAAGTATATGATTATAATAATGATAATAATGATTATAAATTACTTAACATTGGGATAATAATGAAGGATTTCATTAATAATATAATAATAACTAGAAGCACGTTCATGCTCTCCCTGATTTTATTGAATAGTATAAATGTATAACTATGTATTGCATAATATATATAATTTTTTTTAAAAAAAAATATAATTATAATGGGACAAAGTTTAACTTTTATAGTAGAAAAAGGATTAAGTAAAAAAATTTAAGCTGTGATAAAATTTTCTCATTTTAATCAATAAAGAAACCAGAAAAAAATACTTCCAAGCTCCAGTCTCTAACAAACTGTTTTAATGTATAAACAACTTTGCTCATGTTAAGTTCAGAAGGAGTTGAACAAGCGCAGCGCTCATTTTTTTCGGGAACCTTAATAGTAACCCATGAAAAATAACAATACCATTAAAACATGTGCGCATTGTTAGACAAAACACAATAATAAAGTTTGAGTTTTTTTAAAAAAAATATTGTTGTTGGCTTATCAAAAGAAAAAAAAATTTAATTTATTTCATAATATTATAGTAATGAATTGTTTACTAAAACATAATAAGAACATTCCTAGATCAAAAAAACGATTTATGGTACATCGGATTTTAAAAATGTCTTTTATTGTTAATTATATAATATGTTACATTATATAATTTTGGTGTATAACAAGAAATTAGAATTTGCAATTAAAGTTTTTAACTTTTATATATTTTAATTTATTAATATACATAATTATAATTATGATAAATAGTCTTACTACGCTCTTTATATGCATAGTTATATAAACACATTATTTTTATATATTTAATTATACTAATCATAAATTTTATTTAAGTGATAAAAATATAATTGAATAACAATTTTTAAATATTTTTTCCTATATTTTATGTAATACAATATACTTATATATTTATTTACCAAAATAATAGAATTATTTATTTGGTTATATTAAATTTTTTTTCAGAGTTTATTTATTTATATAAAATTACATTAATTATTTGTTATGTTGAATTTTAATTTATTATTTTTCATTTATTTTTAATAGATAATGATCATATAAGCCTTTAAATTATATCTAATTTAATTACACTTTCTATATACTTATTGGGTTTTTTTTGTTAAAGACTTTAAATAAATACAACAAAGGTTTCACTATCTTCAAAAACCCGGTGAGGTGCGATTATCTCGTCAATAAATTCTTGATTTTTCTTAATCGCTATAATAATTAGAATAATAATAAGGGTTAAATGTGTTAATTGAATTGAATATTGAGTATAAGATATTATGACTTATATTAATACAATTATAGCAAAAGTTGCTGTACAATACTTAACCCTTACATCAGACCAAAAAATATATAGCTTCAATAAGAATCTTAAAAATAATAATAAACCTTTGCAAATACATATAGCATGCACGATAACCTTTTTTTTGCTTAATAGTTAAATAACATAATTTTACAAAACAAATGTAATATAAAGTGCATTAAAAAAATGTGTACAATATAATATGAAATCATACGGCAAATTTTATATATAATATTTTAATTAATATATAGAAGCCTTTCTATTATATATATAAATCTAAAAGTTTTTTAATGGACAAAACGTTCATAATGAATGTACGTTTATTAATACCTTACAACATGTAACTAAAAAAGTATTTCTAACAAAGATGTTAAATAAACACTTTAAAATTTATTAAAAAAGCAAACGAGTTAAACAATTAATTTTTTATTACAATGAAGTTATACAATCTACCTTACAATAGCATTAGTTTAAATATATATTAAAGAATTTAAAACATTTTTTATAATATATTGTGGCATTTTACACACTTTACCACAAAATTTTAATGCAAATTTATGTTTAAGTTTTCTGAAATTGATGATAAGCGTCTTTCCAATGTACTATTAAACGGTACCACAATAATAAAACTTGTAAAAAAGTTAGTAAATCATATAAAACAGTTTTTTATAAAATTTTTTTTTCAGATAAGACATATACTGAATATTAAAGTTACAGTTAGAAATATAATCATACCATGAACTCAAAGAAAAGTAATATAAAAGTTAGCATTTTTGAAAAAATCCGTACTCATAAATATATACTCTACAATAAACAAAAGGTTACTTAATAATATATATCCTCTATTATACTTTTTAATAACTTAATAATTTTAAAAAACTTAATAAAAAATTTTAAATATATACAAAAAAATATCATAATATATTAATTGTTAATTTTACTTGCCTTAAGCGCCAAAACTAATATATACATTAAACAATGTTTATATTATGGTATAAAGGTACATTAGTGACTACAAAACATTATGAACTAAAATAATTATAAAACTTTATTTATTTAATAAGATAACGAGCCCTGAGAAGCGCAACATCAAACACTACAAGACCACATATTTAAATAAAAACGAAGAAAGCCATGTGAGAGCCATTCCATATATATATATATATAGCGTTTAGCCTTCGTAGATACATAATACAAAATTTTTAGTTTATAATTTTAGCAGCCAGGATAAATATTTTGAATATAAAAGCTTTTATAAAATTATAATTTATGCTTATCATAAAAAGTTATATAAAATTTGTTAACCAAGTTTGGGATTCGTACTCTGTTAACGTGTAATAACAAAATATAATGAATCCTAAAAAAAACTTAAATACTATATATCTCATGATAAGTAAACTTAAATTTTACAATAAGCTAATTTCTACACAAGACAAAAATATATTATTAAAAATATAAACCGTCTTCAAGATGGTCAAGTTTTTCAGTTATCAACGCTCCAACAAACATATCCAGACTTAAGTTATCGTCGTTCTCATTAATATATTTAACCATCGATATATTTTGGCAATTCTTCTTATTTTTCTTTTTTATTATATTACTATTTCGTCTATTTTGATAACAACGCAAATCGTCACGAGCCCTTTGAACCCGCTTTAGAGTGTAAGTTTGATAGTACTTAAAAGCATCAACAACTTCTATAAAATGTCTGAGAAAATAGAATTTTATCACAGGTAACTTAGCTCTCCACTAAAAAAGAATTTTGTTATAAAAAGCAATAACTTTTTATCTTAATGTTAAAAAAAAAAAATCCTTCCAACAAGCGTCGTGAGTACAAAAAGAAAACATATAAATATAAAAATTTGGCTTTATTAAGTATAAAAGTCAACGGCACATTTTTCTTATGAAAAAAGCCCCGCCCCAGCAAACTACATATAAGAAAAATAACGTTGACTACATAACAAATATATATAGTAAAATTTTTTAACACGAAGTTATTTTTACCATTTCTATTGAAAGATATTTCAAGTATACACAATAGAAATTCATTTATTTACACAAAAACTAAAACTTTACATGACATAAATGTTAACTATTAAATAAATTAAGTTTACGTCATAAATAAATTAACGTAAAGAATATTATGTTTTTATAAAATAAATTAATGTAATGCACAATGTGCAAATTTTAAGTTAAATTACTGATGTAATAAAGAAAAATAACTTTTTTTAAAAAAATAAGAATGGCCCCCGTATACTATTAGTATTCTAAAAATTCATATAAGTTAGCCTAGATTTTCACTTTCTGTTATTAGATAAATTACAGTCAAGTGCTTTTAACTTTATATAGATAACCACCAATACATTATAAGATTTATAAAGTTCTTTATGTAGTAACAAAATAAATAAATTCCATAAATAAGATAAAATTCAAATACAGTCTCTCTCTTTCTAAGTCAGATATGCCTTCAGGGTCATCGTCTTCGTTTAAACAACAAGAACAGCCCTGTCTAGGGACACAAGAAAAAAAAATAGTTAATGCATATGCTGCTATTTTTTTTAATTTATTCTCTACCATATTGTACTATTTTTCATATTTTATTTTACTTAAGACTAAAAATTTGAATTTATGTTTATAAAATAATAAGAAACAGTCACAAAAATACTTTTTTTGGGAAGTCAAAACTTTTGCACCGCCTAAGTTGCCCGCTATTTTAAAAAAAGTTAAATGCAAAAGTACTGAACGAGTAATAATATACCCAAATTCTGAGGTGGCCGTTGTGCAGGTTTCTTAGCATTGCTGCTTTTGATACAGCGAGGCATCGAGCATGGAAAGATTAGAGTACTGAAACAAAGCACTCGATTAATCAAAATACATGCAGTCCTCGTGGGGGCTCTGTGGGACGGCAATAGTAGGGCTTCCCCTTTATTTGCTCGGTCGATCAAACAACTACGAATACTCGGGCTTTCAACTAGAAGTAACCGCAAATGGGGCAGTGGGCGCTTATAATCCTCCCGAAGCACCATGATGGCCCAGAAGGACTAAAGAATAGTGAAGGTGTACGGCCGGATTTCCACCATTCTGACTGGGGTAGTGGAAACCGCTAAAAACCAGCACCAGGAATAGTGGCCTCGATTCTACTGGCCAGGTCCTCTTTCCCTTTTTCATCCATTTATATCGTTATGGACTAGCAACTTATATATATCGGATTTAACCAATTATACATAATACTTGTGTAAACTATTTTTTATATTACAAAGATCTTCAAAACTTGGTTTGAGGTTACAATCAAAGTTTTTAAATTTGAATATACTTAACGTTTAAAGTGACTTTACATTTGGTTTACTAATAGTATTAATAATTAGGAACTGAATACATGTTTTATTATTAGTAATTTGCGAAAGATAACTGTATCCGTACTGTGAAGTCGATACAAAAATATAATATATTAAACGCAAAACTGTAGTTCAAGTTATACTATCAAGTATGCAAAAGCTACTGTTAGACGAATAAAACCAAAATTAAAAGTGATATGTATATACCCTTGGGAGTGACAAATTAATTTTAAAATATAGTTCTAACAGTACTTATAATGGCTGCAATAATAAAGTAGTGTATACTAAAATATTAACAATTACTAACTAAAAGAAAGTACAAGCTTAGCCTTTAAAATATGGCAGTATGCCCACAACTTTGATCGTGTTTATGGGTGCAAATATCGTAGACTTTAACTTCAAAGACTGACTCATGCCAAAGGTGATGTTTCACTACAGGCTTTCTTCGTGCTTTACTTATAAATAAATAAAAGTCGAAAAGCAATGGTACTAAAAGTTTTTCATAGGACACTAAGTTAGATTGCAATAATAAGTACCCGTTTTATTTGTTGCTAAAAAAAGAATTTTCAACTTTTTTATAATGTACACTAGAAGAATTTATCATTAAATTTTAAAAAAACCGTATTTAAGGAATTTCAAAGGTTTGTAAAAAAAAATTTAAAAAATATAGATGACGACACCAAATATGAAAGAATAGAAACCTTTCAAAATCATGTATTAAACAAAACTTTTAAGTTTTTCGCATAGTTATTTTATTCCTTTTAAATCTTCTATGTGAACTTCACGTAAATAAAATTTTTCTAGTTAAGATATACAATCTAAAACTTTATTCCGAAAAATACAATAAGCACTTCAAGACAAAAAGTTGGCTGACCACTTTTAAACAAAAAAAAGTATATATCAAAACTTCAAAGTTTATTACTTGAATTCAAAATTGCTGAGGCTCTTGTTGCGTTAGTAGAAGCCCATAACGTTTTTTTAATAAATATCTCTGCCTCGAAAACTTATCATCAGGGGAGAAACGTGCTAACAAAGAAAATATTTATATATTTACTTAAAGAAACCTATGAAACTAACCTGGATGAGCAGACTTTGTACACTCGTTATTAACAAGTTTCTTTTTAAAAAAAAAATTAAGCTATATATATACTTATAAGAAAATAGTATACTTTTAAAGTGTAAACACGCTTTCTGCGGTCGTCCAAGTAATACATCAAGTACATTTTCGATGAAACTATTCTACTTGACACATGTTTAAAATATAGTAATATGCTGCCCACCACTACGACGACCATTAGGCCATGTTTGTTAAAGCTAGATAGAAGATTTTAATAATCTGGCAGCAGGCTAACTCAACTTTTGTATCACTTTGCCATGTTTCAACTTAACTGGTAGGCTTACTTACAACTATTCTTTTTAATAAAAAGTTTTATAGCCTATTTTATAAATCTTTAACCTTTATATTTTTCTTTTAAATGTCATCTTTAGTTACTATAATAATTTTAAAGTATGATAATTCACCTACAATTTCAAAAAAAATAATTGTTCGTAAGAAGTTTCAGTACATGATCTCAGGCCGGCAATATAATTTACATACTTCTCGTAACCTTGTCCTTTGTATTAACGTTTGACAGCTTAGGTCTACCTTCTGTCTAAATCAAAAGCAACAGATACTTTAAGATATTTGGAACAAATTAAATAGGAAATTTTTTATGTTAAGGTAAATTTAAAAGTAGTAAGTTAACGCGAACTGCCCTTATTATATTACGCCTCGTTAAAACACAAGGAGCGTGGAGTGAGTTGAAACATGTGCAAGCAATATGAAACCAGTTTTTTTAACAGGTATATTTTATGAAGTAATTAGCTGATAAATTTTGTAATATAGGAAATGGCTTTACTTGCCTGAGATATATATAGCTCGAGCAATTGGTAATTTACATTTAACTTAGTGAGTGAACTTTATAAGGCGAAAACGAAAGGATGGAGACTTGAGATTTGAAGTTTACGTCGGACAATAAATAAAGGGTACTCTTTGTGATAAAAAGCTTTGCGTTTTCATTTAGTTTGAAAACTAGTGTAGTATCATTTGTCGTATGCTAGGGTGGAGATATTGGTTTCTTGTGAATCGTATTAATTTGATGTCGTACTTGAGTTACACTAGCTTTAATACTAGAAAAAGTATATTATTAATATGGCGCGCGAAAGTAGACTATTAAAACTATACTATAGTATGTTTTAAAGAACACTTTAAAAGTAACATCAGCATATCCAAAAAACATTCAAAAAAAAGTTAGTAAAATTCCATATATAAAAAACATAAATGCAAAAAAAAACCTAGAAAAGAGGCTAGTATGCCCCTACGCTTGTCATAAAATCAACTGGATTTATTTGAAACGTGTCAAGCTTTCGTCTGACACTATTCGCTTTCACTAGCTTAGTTAAAGTAGAACTACCAGCATAGCTCCTTGTATTTAAGTCTAAGAGTGCTATTTGGCTAAGAAATTGGCTAAGGTGTAACGTGCTTTCTTCTCTTATCTACAACCATTAAGTAACTATTAAGTAACTTGTTCTTAATATCCCTAACGTGCCAGTAGTGTTCTTTCGTATCACTTGCGTAGGTTAGCCTTTGAACTGGTTAAGATGATCTATTACACTCTTAGCTTTTGTCCGCAAGTAATCACTACAGATGCAGACCAAACCTACCTTAAACCGGACCATGATAACATATAGTTTTATTCTTTTTCAAGATGAAACTATTTTACATCTTTTCAACCTAACATTATAAGGTAATTTTTACGTTCTCGGTTTCTCTGCTTAAGCTAGCGCAACTCGGTTTACAAGAATCTCTTAGGGTATCTAACTCTGACGAAAGGGAGAATTATAACTACTTTCATACTTTTTTTTTGTTCTACTTTAGTACGACAACTAAATTAACTATCCTTTTTTTATTTTATTTTATGAATAAGACCATTTAGTGCATCTATAATCGTTGAATAATGCTTTCGGAGGCCTAGGTTGCTCTGATTTCTAATCCAATTTTACTTAATTTTAGATCCTATCTGGTTCCAGTGGGAAAGTTGGAGATGCAAGTAATCGACTAGAGACAATTGCAACTAATGCCCAGTGTCTCCACTATGACCTAAACGACGCAGTCACCATGAGTGGGTCTTTTAATGATGGCAAAAAGCTTCATCATTGCTAACAAAACCCAATGAAGGACGCCCTAGCAAGCTCTCTTTAAAATGATGAAAGATAAAAGGTAATATGTGCCATAGCACGCAGGAGCATTATATCCGACTCGAGTTAAATTACAGTAGTTACTACTAATAAAGCACCTAAAGGAAGAGAGATAGATGACGGCAAGGATAAGTTTACTAGTTATTATCCTACTGACAAGTAAATTTGTCTTTCAAAGAAACACTCTCTTCATCTGTACTTAGTTGCGTAAGAAAGCTTCGGAAGAAGTAATAACACTCTCTTAAAAGGTTCCGAGAATTAATCTTAAAAACTCGGGCCGACAATAGTGCTTTTTATATGTCTATGTAGGCCTCACGTTTTAGATGGGTTTATTAACTAGAATTTCTTCTTAGGTTTAACTTATGGAAGGTATTGAAGTTGTTCTTATTACTTGAAATTTTATCATATCTTGTTTAATTACTTTCATAAAGATATTAGCCAAGTTGATTTCCTACGTTAAAAGTTGCCAAAGGAAGCTAAGGACATTACTAGCTTTATTATTCCATCACTCTAATAGGGAGAAAAGTAAGCTTTTGCAACCCCAAAAGAAACATGTCACATGTCAATCTCTAAGTCCGGGGGGAAGGTTCCTTGGAGAGTCTTGTAAAGAAAGCACTGTTCTGTTGATTTCGTCATTTGATTTCTTGTCAGTAATGAGCCACAGTTAAACCAGCCAAGTTAGTTAATACTAACGCTTCTCAAGAATATATGCCTTCTCTCGTTATGATAAAGACACCAAGCATTTATAGGGTTGCTTCATACTTAGCATGTAAAGATATGTACATTTTGATAGGGGTATCTTGAGCTTAGGCAACAGTCAAATTAGCCCTTAATAATGGACAATAATTAGTATGTCTTTAAAAAGCTATGAGTGCTACTTATGTTGTGTGTTGTAAGAGGAAAATATTAGAGCTCTATCTTTTTATATAGTATTAGTAATGTTCGGTTTTTCTTTGGTTTGCTAGATAATTGCATAATAGTATACTGTGTACTTAGAGAATAGAACCATACACCCTACCGTATATTATATGAGAAGTAACCACTCCTTTTAATCTCAAAAGGAGGCGGAAACTAACTTTCTGTATAGAAGCCAAGTCAGAAACCTACCTTTATATAGACCTATAATACAAGCACAGCGATTAAATTTATAACTCCTTGTGTTCCAGCATTCTTTTGAAATTAAGGTCTAAGTTCATATGCAAGTTTTTATCTAATATACAATTTTATATATAAGCTAAGATCCAAGATTACTCAAGCTTAAGTTTTCCATTTTTTTAAAGTGGTTTTTCCGAAATTGAACTCTCTGATTTTTCCCTAGTGTCAGTGTCAATGTCTTTGGGAAACTTAGTTCATGAAGGAATTTATGTCAATACATAGCTTTCATTAGATATCTTTGTGGTCTTTATTTTAATAGGACTAACTCCACTGTTGACTAAGCTCAAAAAGTAAGGGGGCTTACAGAATAGTGTTGCTTCCTGGAATATACTATAATGAGTCCGGACGAACAAGACATAAGCAATAAAATAGTCCTATCAGTATTTCTAAAGAAGAACGAGAAAACAAGAAAAGTAGTCCCCTTTCTCCCTGTTCGAGTCATCTATTCTTGACTTGAGCGATAGGGTAGACCCATTCCAAATAATTGTAAATTGATCTGAGCGGCTAAGTTATATGCGCACGGATAATTTAGTGATCAGTTGCGTACGGAAGCTCCGGGCAAGCCTTTATAGCGTTGAGCAAAGAGAGATTCGATAATACCACAGCCATAAAATAGAAAATTAATGAAAAGTATTGAAGAATTTCTTAGGTGTGTCTACCTGTTAGTATGGAATCTGTTAGGTTATTCACCTTTTAAAAAGTTCTATCTTTTCAGGCCACTTTGCTACATGAAGGGGACGTTTAGATGAATCCTTACATTCATGAAAAGTGTACAAGCCTTGGACAATAGCTAAAAAGTTAAAATACAAGGCAGAAGCTAACAGTCGAACGAACACAGCCCTTTCACTATTTATGCACGATTCGAAAGAATTGCTTAAGAATCGTAAAACCAAACCTGAGTTTTGCATTTAACGCGAAGATAGAACCCTCGTTGAAGGCTTACTGGCCATCATCTATAACTTAAACAATCGTAGCGTACCTATTACTATGTATTAAAGGTAAGCTACAAGAGAACTCAAACGTACTTGAAATTTCAGCTCAAGCAAATGGAGTACCAAACTTATATTTATGAAAGATGCGCTTATTTTTTTTCAGTCGACTTCCAGATAGTAGGAGCTTTTACAAATAATCACGTTAGAAGCGCAACCCTTAAAATAACATCAAAGTGAAAACAAAGTGCTGCAACTACCCGGTAGGCTTGACTAAAGAAGCTTCGAATGACAAAAATAAAACTTGTTTATTTCACTACGTTGTCAACAGAGAGGACCTGTAGGTAAGCTCTCATAATTTTTGACGAGTTATTGAGAAAAAAAAGCGGCTGATATAAGAAAAATAATGAAGGATTATCATCTAAATTTTATAATCAAGTATACAAGACATCGACCCCATCAGAAAGGCATTCAAACGGAAAAGGTTTTTTATTTAATAAATGTTTAGAATTATGGAACGCCTCCAAAAAAATGGGCAGAAGCAAAAAAACAGAACGCAAAAGTCTAAACCACTTGACTCAAGGTGCAAAATCAATGTATTAGAAAATAAATTGATAACACATTAAAAGGATCATTTTGAGATAAACTAATAAACTACGCCGTCTATACCATCTTTCAATGGAAAACCTATTTTTTTTTTTTGCCATTTCCCATATCTTTCGTTATTGCTGTGCATATACCGCCCAAGTAGGGTGTGTAGCGTATGCAATGTCAGGTATAGTAGTATTAGTTATGTTTGTTATTGAGTCTAAGTTTCGTATTACCCCAGGTTAGTTTTATTAATGCCCAAGTGGTGGTTGTAATTTAATGGTTGTAGGTAACGGTATTTTTATACCT